AAAAGACACCTGTCCACACACTCAATCAAACAGACTCCAACCTCTCCACAATGGCCAAGACCAGAGAGCTGTGTAAGGACATCAGGGATAAAATTGTAGACCTGCACAAGCCTGGGATGGGCTACAGGACAATAGGCAAGCAGCTTGGTGAGAAGGCAACAACTGTTGGCGCAATTATTAGAAAATGGAAGAAGTTCAAGATGACGGTCAATCACCCTCGGCTCCATGCAAGATCTCACCTCGTGGGGCATCAATGATCATGAGGAAGGTGAGGGATCAGCCCAGAACTACACGGCAGGACCTGGTCAATGACCTGAAGAGAGCTGGGACCACAGTCTCAAAGAAAACCATTAGTAACACACTACGCCGTCATGGATTAAAATCCTGCAGCGCACGCAAGGTCCCCCTGCTCAAGCCAGCGCATGTCCAGGCCCGTCTGAAGTTTGCCAATGACCATCTGGATGATCCAGAGGAGGAATCGGAGAAGGTCATGTGGTCTGATGAGACAAAAATAGAGCTTTTTGGTCTAAACTCCACTCGCCGTGTTTGGAGGAAGAAGAAGGATGAGTACAACCCCAAGAACACCATCCCAACCGTGAAGCATGGAGGTGGAAACATCATTCTTTGGGGATGCTTTTCTGCAAAGGGGATAGGACGACTGCACCGTATTGAGGGGAGGATGGATGGGGCCATGTATCGCGAGATCTTGGCCAACAACCTCCTTCCCTCAGTGAGAGCATTGAAGATGGGTCGTGGCTGGGTCTTCCAGCATGACAACGACCCGAAACACACAGCCAGGGCAACTAAGGAGTGGCTCCGTAAGAAGCATCTCAAGGTCCTGGAGTGGCTTAGCCAGTCTCCAGACCTGAACCCAATAGAAAATCTTTGGAGGGAGCTGAAAGTACGTTTTGCCCAGCGACAGCCCCGAAACCTGAAGGATCTGGAGAAGGTCTGTATGGAGGAGTGGGCCAAAATCCCTGCTGCAGTGTGTGCAAACCTGGTCAAGACCTACAGGAAACGTATGATCTCTGTAATTGCAAACAAAGGTTCCTGTACCAAATATTAAGTTCTGCTTTTCTGATGTATCAAATACTTATGTCTTGCAATAAAATGCAAATTAATTACTTAAAAATCATACAATGTGATTTTCTGGATTTTTGTTTTAGATTCCGTCTCTCACAGTTGAAGTGTACCTATGATAAAAATTACAGACCTCTACATGCTTTGTAAGTAGGAAAACCTGCAAAATCGGCAGTGTCTCAAATACTTGTTCTCCCCACTGTACATATTCAGACCCTTTGCTATGAGACTCAACATTGAGCTCAGGTGCATCCTGTTTCCATTGATCATCCTTGAGATGTTTCTACAACTTCATTGGCGTCCACCTGTGGTAAATTCAATTGATTGGACATGATTTGGGAAGGCACACACCTGTCTATATAAGGTCCCACAGTTGACAGTGCATGTCAGAGCAAAAACCAAGCCATGAGGTCTGTAGAGCTCCGAGACAGGATTGTGTCGAGGCACAGATCTGGGGAATGGTAGCAAAACAATTCTGCAGCATCGAAGTTCCCCAAGAACACAGTGGCCTCCATCATTCTTAAATGGAAGAAGTTTGGAACCACCAACACTCTTCCTAGAGCTGGCTGCACGGCCAAACTGAGCAATCGGTGGAGAAGGGCCTTGGTCATGGAGGTGACCAAGTACCCAATGGTCACTCTGACAGAGCTCTAGAGTTCCTCTGTGGAGATGGGAGAACCTTCCAGCAGGACAACCATCTCTGCAGCACTCCACCAATCAGGCCTTAATGGTAGAGTGGCCAGACGGAAGCCACTCCTCAGTAAAAGGCACATGACAGCCGGAGTTTGCCAAAAGGCACCTAAAGACTCTCAGACCATGAGAAACAAGATTCTCTGGTCTGATGAAACATTCTCTGGTCTGATGCCAAGACAACACAGGAGTGGCTTTGGGACAAGCCTCTGAATGTCCTCGAGTGGCCCAGTCTCTGAAGAGACCTGAAAATAGCTGTGCAGTGTAACAGTGTTGCTTCCGTCCCTCTCCTCGCCCCTACCTGGGCTTGAACCAGGGACCCTCTGCACACATCGACAACAGTCACCCTCGAAGCACCGTTACCCGTCGCTCCACAAAAGCCGCGGCCCTTGCAGAGCAAGGGAAACAACTACTTCAAGGTCTCAGAGCGAGTGACGTCACCGATTGAAATGCTACTAGCGCGCACCGCTAACTAGCTAGCCATTTCACACCGGTTACACTAGAAATGCTCCCCATCCAACCTGACAGCTTGAGAGGATCTGCAGAGACGAATGGGAGAAACTCCCCAAATACAGGTGTGCCAAGCTTGTAGCGTCATACCCAAGACTCAAGGCTGTAATCGCTGCCAAAGGTGTTTCAACAAAGTACTGAGTAAAGGGTCTCAATACTTATGTAAAGGTGATATTTCAATTTTTTATTTTTTTAAACCTGTTTTTGCATTGTCATTATGGGGTATTGTGTGTAGATTTAAGTGGGGGGGGGGGACATTTAATCAATTTTAGAATAAGGCTGTAACCTAACAAAATGTGGGAAAAGTCAAGGGATCTGAATTCTTTCCGAAGGCGCTGTATGTAGCTGGATCTATAAAACGTTGTGGGACTTATACTTGTCACACCAATAGGCTACATTTGAGTTCTGAAAACATCTGTGAATTATCACTGCCAGTAACTATAGGTGACGATACATGGACTCGGTTGGGAATCTCCCTACGCAGCCAGAGCCATATCTAAAATATATAGCTATGCAGCATGACAGAGAGAGAGCTATATGTCGTGCTAATTAGAGGTGAAACAGAGTCTTTATACACCCTAATCACCAACCACCCCTGCTTGTTGGGTCTCATCCAGACTGATAATGGCTAAAGGATGTGTGTGGTGGGCTGCGGAGGAGATTCCCAATACCACAGAGCTACTATCTCTGTGGGAGTTCATTATACACACAGACTGCACACAGATTCACACAGTTGTGTGCAGTTTGGCCACAAAGCCATCGTTGTAAAGATGGGAGAAAATAAATAATTGCAATATCTGCATAATAAACCTGATTTACTGTCAGATATTAGAGATATATGGGGTAATCAGTTTGGGGAAAGCTGTGGGGAAAGCACCTCCCAGACACAGGAGGACCTCCCATGTATTCACACAACAAACACATGCACGAATGCAGACAAATACACACACGCAGCACACACAAACACATGCCTGCTGGTGGGCAGATGCGCTTGTCACCACACTATAAAATCACCATACTGAACGGAGTCGTGCGGACATCCCCTGCTGCACCCAAGCAGACAGACTCCCAGACAACCTTCCGCCCACGGTCCCTCCCCCACTACCCACAAGCGAGGTAGAGGGGTGGAGGAGGAGGGATGGGGGGGGTAGATCTCATCTGGGGACAAAGTTGAGACTGACCCTGCATCCCAAATGGCACCCTGTTCCCTATAAGTAGTGCACACATTTTGACCAGAGCACTATGGGCCCTGGTCAAAAGTAGTGCACTATATAGGGAGTAGGGTGGCACTTGGGACACAGCCTCAGTCGGTGACAGACATTCTTACAGAATAAGTGGAACCAGCTGGGTCATAAAGAGGTCAGATACAGAGTGGAGGTGTGGATACAGGGGGTTAACAGCATCAGACGGACCACATACACACACACGGATCTCTCACACTCACACACACAGCCTGATCCTCTCATTCACACACGCACACCATTAAAAGACACCACAGTCCAATAATCTGACCAATAAAGTCAGGCAATCACAGCAGCAAAACCATAACAAATGCGGGAGATAAGGAACTGCCCATCAACAAAATTCATAGTTCACTAACAATTCATCTATAAAGCCATAACAATCATGTGAATGCAATCACATGACCAAGGGGTCTGTGAGGTCCTGAGGCCTGGATATATAGAGTGGACCAATGATTCCTCAAGGAGTGGAAGCAGCAGGCATCCTTGGCTGCTTTACATTCACTGTACACTTGCCGCCCTCTCCTGGTAATATATTGGGTCCTCTCCTGGTAATATATTGGGTCTTCTCATGGTAATATATTGGCACGCTTGTCTCTACCACAGGAGGCTGCTAATGGGAGGACGGCTCATAATAATGTCTGAAACGGAGCAAATGGAATGGCATCTAAAACCTGGAATCCATTCCACACATCCCACTCCAGTCATTACCACCAGCCTGTTCTCCCCAATTAAGGTGCCACCAACCTCCTGTGGTCTCCATGTACATGACATAGTGACATAGAAATATCTCAAATCCTTGACAGTTGACACACTAAAATAATCCATGAGTAATTTCACATGAAGAGCCTAGTCATTATTTATAAACTTTTAATTGAACTCTCAATTGAAAGTACACTTCTCCCTCCTGTCCTGTAGCACTCTGAAAAACAACCTGTTTTTCACAGTAGCCCCTTTCCGTCAGGAAGAGCAGTCCAGAGAACACAGGTCTGTGTCTGAAATGGCATCTTATTCCCTATCTAGTGTCCTACTTTTGAACAGAGCCTCATGGACCCCGGTCAGAAGTAGTGTAATATACAGGGAATAGGGTGACATTTGGGACACAGAAACAGGCTGAAAGGAGGAGCAAGAGGTGTGGATGGTGGTGGGTAAAGCTGAAGAGGGGGTCTCCATGATAACATCCTACCCTGATGATGAGGTTATGCGAGGCAGCTCAACAGGTCCATTCTCAGTGGCCTTTCTTTCAGCAGACAGAACGCTCAAGACATTGCACCACAAAGAATACATCTAAAGATACGATCCAACTCAACAAAAGCAAAAAAAATGTAGTTTGTTCTTTCCTATTTACAAAGCGTTTGAGATATTACTGAAAACCTATATGACAGAAAACCCAGTTAAATTACAGAATCGTTGAAGGTGTCGTAGGGATCAAAATCACTCAAGATGAAATGAAATACCCTAGTACAGTACTACATTCGTTAAAGTGTTATCAAAACAACAAGGAGGGGAATAGTATTCCAGTCTTGCTGATGTCCATGAGAGAGTCCGTTGATTTCAGAGTCCTTTGCCTCAATCCAGCTCCTCTTTTAGTGCCCAGTCAGGTGTGATAGGTTTAACATCAGGTAGTGGGCTTTGATTATCAAAAATGTCTGTGGTAGTGGTTGACAGTAGCTGAAATTGAAGGGGAATTAAAAAAGGCAAAGAAGGAATTCAAAGTATGAGGGCCAAAACATTATGGTGCTAGTAAAAAAGGGGGACAAGAGCAAGCAAATTAAAAGTATAAATATGGTGAAGTTTCGACCCGTCGATGTTAAATATAACAAGGACTTCTTTAAAATAAAATAGACAACATCAAGCCACCTGAACCCTAAAAAATAAAACAAATCAACCCATCCTGAGAACAATCCGAAAATAAATACACCCCTGTGCTTGCTCCTTTGTGTGTCGTGTGTGTTTTGTAGCACAGAACTCAGTCCAGATTCTATCTGTTGGTGTGTCAGTATCCCTGTAGTCCATTGTAAACCTTCTGTACCGATGCCTGCTTCAGAATCCCCCTCACTCCTGGAACAACAAAAGCAAGCCCGAATTGTAAATTATTATCCATTATGATCATAATTATTACATTTTTCAGAATCATTCATATCTGAGAAGTTAATGTGTACCTTTATTGTCTTCCTGACAGTGGTGTAAAGTCGGCAATTTGAAAACGATTTATTATAATGTATATTTATCGCTTACAGTTTGTAAATGTGTTACTTTTTTTTGGGGGGTGAGGAGTGTTCTATGGGCGTGTCCTTCGCCTCAGTCTTAATATCAACAATACCCATACCTCGTATGTAACACCACTGATATATAACATGCCATCTACTTTTTCCTGGCGTCATTAATTAACTCAAACTCATAAATAAATACATTACAAGTCCCATCCCCCAACCCATCTTTATCGACTGCCTCCTTACCCTCTTTCTGATTGTCATTCAGCTGTATCTCTGGGAACTCTACGTCGAAGGAGACAATGAGAGAGCCACGGATGTTGTTGTTGTCGAAGTTGGGCAGGCCTTCTCCTTTCTTCCACAGCCGAGCACCAGGCTTAGTGATCTTGTCCCTCACAATGTGGACCTGTAGTCAGAGGAGGAGTCAAAGTGTGTCACTGATTCCTTAGAAGTCCTTTTAGAAGAATACTTTATAATGAATAAATACTTTATTTTCTAGACAGAGAACAAAAATTCATATTTTTTGCTTTTCAATCAGTCTTTGTGCTTTTTGAGGATGGGGCAATCAATGATGGCTCAAGTCCCCTCCAAAACGTCTATGAACATTTCAGTACATGCCAGTAAAACAGTGTATGTATGTATTTCTTAGCTTCACTCGTCCATAGCTACCTTATGTCCATCCAGGTGTGTGATGTCCATCTCAAAGCCAACCAGAGCCTCCACCAGGGAGATGGTGACGTTAGTGTACAGGTCATCTCCTCGCCGCTCAAACACTGGATGTCTGTCAGTACACATATACATGACTAAATCACTCTTCAACAAAACAGCTTCCACAACTGACAAGATATTAGTGTACAATACATTGGTGTATCAAGCTAGCTTACAGGGAGAGGGAAAGAAAGATGCCTGTAGTGGGCATAGAAATAGACATATACAGTCGTGGTCAAAAGTTTTGAGAATGTATAATTACAAGCATTCCATAAAAGTGTCAAAGGCTTTTATTGACAATTACATTCAGTTTATGCAAAGAGTCACCTCTGCAATCTGCCCTGGCATGCTGTCAATTAACTTCTGGGCCACATCCTGACTGATGGCAGCCCATTCTTGCATAATCAATGCTTGGAGTTTGTCAGAATCTGTGGGTTTTTGTTTGTCCACCTGTCTCTCGAGGATTGACCACAAGTTCTCAATGTGATTAAGGTCTGGGGAGTTTCCTGGCCATGGACCCAAAATGTCGATGTTTTGTTCCCCGAGCCACTTAGTTATCACTTTTGCCTTATGGCAAGGTGCTCCATCATGCTGGAAAAGGCATTGGTCGTCACCAAACTGTTCTTGGATGGTTGGGAGAAGTTGCTCTAGGAGGATGTGTTGGTACCATTCTTTATTCATGGCTGTGTTCGTAGGCAAAATTGTGAGTGAGCCCACTCCCTTGGCTGAGAAGCAACCCCACACATGAATGGTCTCAGGATGCTTTACTGTTGGCATGACACAGGACTGATGGTAGCGCTCACCTTGTCTTCTCCGGACAAGGTGTTTTTCGGATGCCCTAAACAATCAGAAAGGGGATTCATCAGAGAAAATGACTTTACCCCAGTCCTCAGCAGTCCAATCTCTGTACCTTTTGCAGAATATCAGTCTGTCCCTGATGTTTTTCCTGGAGAGAAGTTGCTTCTTTGCTGCCCTTCTTGACACCAGGCCATCCTCCAAAAGTATTCACCTCACTGTGCGTGCAGATGCACTCACACCTGCCTGCTGCCATTCCAGAGCAAGCTCTGCACTGGGGGTGCCCCGATCCCGCAGCTGAATCAACTTTAGGAGACGGTCCTGGTGCTTGCTGGACTTTCTTGGGCGCCCTGACGCCTTCTTCACAACAATTGAACCTTTCTCCTTGAAGTTCTTGATGATCCGATAAATGGTTGATTTAGGTGCAATCTTACTAGCAGCAATATCCTTGCCTCGTCGGCCACTCTACCAAAAACGCCTGATTGGTGGAGTGCTGCAGAGATGGCTGTCTCCCATCTCCACAGTGGAACTCTGGAGATCTGTCAGAGTGACCATCGGGTTCTTGGTCACCTCCCTGACCAAGGCCCTTCTCCCCCGATTGCTCAGTTTGGCCGGGCGGCCAGCTCTAAGAAGAGTCTTGGTGGTTCCAAACTTCTTCCATTTAAGTATGATGGAGGCCACTGTGTTCTTGGGGATCTTCAATGCTGCAGACATTTTTTGGTACCTTTCCCCAGATCTGTGCCTGGGGTATTGTGTGTAGATTGATGAGGATTTTTATTTATTTAATCAATTTTAGAATTAGGCTGTAACCTAACAAAATGTGGAAAAAGTCAAGGGATCTGAATACTTTCCGAATGCACTGTACATAGAAGGGTTGAGTCACATAGACAACACAAAACAGCTTCCACAACTGACAACATACATCTTATATAATAGAGAGAGACAGGCTACCTAACAGAGTGAGAAAGCATTTGCATACAGCAGCCATATAAATAGAAGTGTTGAGTCACATAGACAACAGGAAGTAGCGAACATTCCAAAGATCTTTACCAGTGGAGGCTGCTGAGGGGAGGACGGCTCATAATAAATGGCCGGAATGGAGTACATGGTATCAAACACATGTTTTTCATGTGTTTGATACCATTCTATTCATTGGATTCCAGACATTATTATGAGCCGTCCTCCCCTCAGCAGCCTCCAATGATCTTTACGTAACACTAATGTATTAGTGTTGACAGAATGTCCTATAGCAACAAAGCATGGCTCCTAGAGAAGGTATAGAAGTTAATAGTAGCCTGATTAGAACCACTATATTATTTCTGAAATAAGGAAATTCTGCTCTTACTTCATAACTTTGATGCGGAAGCGTAGATCCCCTGGCTCTCCATCGATGTGAGGTTCACCTTGAGACAGACGTAGTTGTGAGTTAGACACTGATACCACTTTTTTTTTTACCCCCATTATCCTGATGGTTGAGTAAGTAGCTTACCTTCCCCAATGAAAGGGTACTCCGTCTCATCTCTCACTCCCTGTTCAATCTCTACCTCCAGAGTTCTCTCCTCATTCACCAGCCTGGGATCATGGAGACAGTCACATTTTCATCACTGAACACATAAATAAAGAACCCATTGACTCCTGTGTTAACACTCTTAACCAGAAGCACAGTCAATATGACAGTATAGAACAGTGGTTCCCAACCTTTTTCGGTTACTGTACCACCAACTGAATTTTGCTCTGCCCAGAGTACCCCAGAAGTACCCCCTCATGTGCATTTTACCAGTAAGCCTATGGTGTCATTAGTCTTCTCAAGTACCCCCTGCAGATTGGCCAAGTACCCGCAGGGGTCCTAGTACCCCTGGTTGGGAACCACTAGTATAGAACACATCTTTAATTTATCCATTTGCACAGAAATTCTAAATGTTTTGCTGACAGCACCCAACCCAACATTCACACGACAGAGTAGGCGCAGCACAGAGTCAACTACAGAGCAGCACCCCTGGAGCAGTGACTCACTTTATATTGGGGCACTCATCACACACTACTTCCTGGCTCATCTGGAAGCGTCCAGGTCCGAGTTGCGTCGTCCTCATTTCCTGTCTGCAGTTGCATTTCCGTTTCCCAGGGGCCTCTTTGGCTACAGGCTTGTTACGAACAACCTGGGATGTACATATAGGTGATGAGATTGGGGGGTATGTATTGGAATAGGCTAGGACTGGTGCACACAAATCGTATACAGTGGCCGTGTCCGAATACCTGTACTTGCGTTCTAAATAGTAGGCATTTTGGGTATGCGAAAATAGAAAGTTTTATAGTATGTGAAAAATTTTTTATTCAGTATGCTTTCAATGCCAGGATGTCATACTCAATTCAGCTTTATCTCTAGTAGAATTCGCTGCACACTATTGAGGAAGAGAATCGTTGAGTGTTTGACAACAGCTGATAAATCACATTAGGTGACGCAGCGTACCAAAATGAACGAATGGCGGGAATCTACGCAATTGCTCATTTTAGATTACGCATTCTCAGTATGGATGAGCCTAGCATGTTGATATTTTATGCTTATTGCATTAATTTTTACTAAACAGTGCACAATTAGTACACAGTATGTAGTTTTAATAAGTAGTAGCCAAGACAGATTTCGGATACGGACAGTATATCACAGACCACCATCAGGGTTGAAGTGTACCTCTACAAAGTTCCCAGAGTACACCTCTTCGAGTGTGACCTCCAGGTCCAGCACGATGTCATTTCCTCTGGGGATGTTCCTGTCCTGTTGTCCTTGCCGGTTTCCTCCGAACGTGAAGCCAAAGTCGCCAAAGAAACTGGAAGAGGCAACGGAGTGTGAGGGAACAGTTGGGTAAGAGGCATTATTTGGCTTGTAGCCAGTGCTTGATATAGGCAGGAGCTCACAGGAGCTGAATACCAGCACCTCAAATGTTCTACTGCTTGAGCTCCTGTTCCTCTTATAGAATATTAGATCAAAAGTATTGTGGAGCTTCTGCACCTAAATGTAAACAGTACCAGCACCCCAAATTAGCACCAGCACCCATTTCAGTCCAAGTCAAGCACTGCTTGTAGCAGGAGCTTGTAATTGAACACACTTCAGCCAGGTATTAAGCATTTATTACAAACTAAAGCCCTGGTAAGCCTGGTCTCGGCGCGACCACATAGACATATACCCACAAGGATTATGAGGATATCATTGTTAAGCACCGGGACCATATCCTTTATCATATATACTGAATCCATAATGTACAGTCTTTTATAGTAATCTATTAGGTAAACCTCCTGTACCTGGAGAAAATATCACTGTGAGAACCATGGTGACCCTCTTTCAGACCATCCTCTCCATATGCATCATACTGCTTCCTCTTCCCTTCATCAGACAGCACCTACAAACAGCACAACATCAGGGACGAATTCCTCTTTTTAAGTCACAAAATACTGTACTGTAGAGTACATGATTTCTTTACATTTGCAACATGAAATTAACTTAAATTACAAATTCTTAACATCACATTTCACCCCCTTAAATAGTTTAACCATTCAAAATTAATCAATCATGAAATTGGATGATGTTTCTAATCTACACGTTATCAGTGATCACTGGTGCGGTGTGCATCATTGTACGTTTCACTGAGCCGCTCCGAGTGCTCCACGTCGTGTTTCATGAGAGCACACTGACCACAGTATGAGCCAATCAGAGGCAGCCACACGGTCTTCTTGGCCAATCAAAATCACCAAGTTGTTTCCAACAACAACCAAATAGGTCGCTTACGTTTGTTACAAAATACTTTTGTATCCGTGCCTCGAGCGCTTCCGCAAATGAGATAGAACGCTGAAGCAAAATATTACTACACACCCAGATCAAATTACTATTATAAAAGGTTCATAAATGATACATAACAATAAAGCATTATTATCTCAACACTCAGTTGCCATTCAAATCTTTTAAATCTCTTCATAAGACTGACAATGATGTTGATGTGCATTGTTTGTTTCTGAGACTAGCTACACAAGACAAGATCCTCATCATGACATGATATTGATAGCATATATTGTCAAACAAAAGCGCCATTCAAAGAACAATTACCAGAGAGATAAGTTATATTTATGAGCAAAAGATACAGGGAAATACAGGGGGTCACTTCCTACCTCATAGGCTGACCCAAGGTCTGCGAATTTGTCGGCAGCAGTTGGGTCATCTGGGTTTCTGTCAGGGTGCAGCTGGAGAGCCAGCTTTCTGTAAGCCTTCTTGATGTCCCTCACGGATGCAGACTTGCTCACCCCCAAGATCTTGTAGAAATCTCGCCTGTAGATAGAGGACAAAATAAGAGGAGGGGGGGGGGGGGTTTAGCTACTTACAGGATCTTAGATATTTTTCCCTTCATGATAGTGACAAGTGGAGTAGGGTTCACAAACGTGTGGTTTATCAGACTAAGAATCTTTGCTTGTTTCTTGTATTTGTGAAGTAAATAATTCTAAATGGGCATCACCCAGTCCAGTGTATTCAGTTTGATATTAACGGCTCTCCAAAGCCAGTTGAGCAAGTTAGCCCACTCTTCCATGACATTCCCTCGAGTAGATAGTATGACAGCCTACACACGATTCACGATACTGGAAACAAAGAATCAGGCAAGGGTGATGTTGACTACCCTATGAACAAGGATTTTATTTACAGTGTTGTTTACGTTGCTGAGATTGCTTCTTTCCATCTCCAGTTAGTAGTTAGCTAACGTTAGCCTTTTTACACATGGAGAATGGGCTTCAGAAGCATAGACCAATCACAATGAAACATGTGTACCAGCTAGCGATACCGCGGTTGGACCGGTTTGAACATTGCAGAGGTTCGGGTTGTATAGAAACAAGTACTTACCCTGCAAGCACTGCCGCAACAAAATAAAGGACAAGACAGCAAACACTCCATAGATTCATTCCTTTAACGGCCATAGATACCAGTTTCTTCAAGAAACCAACAGAACAACCCGGCTTTTTGAGGTAGGCTTCCTTTCTGTCACTGATCCTCTTCCTTCTGTCAAATCAGAACCGCCCACATGCTGCCTGGAAGTCCCGCCTCTCGTGCTAACGCCCGCCCACCGTATATATAAGAGGCACATCCTACGTTCATCCACTACAAAATATATTTTACATATTTACATTTACATTTTAGTCATTTAGCAGACGCTCTTATCCAGAGCGACTTACAATTAGTGAGTGCATACATTTTTCATACAGGTCCCCCGTGATTGCCAATGATATGTATATATAGCTCTTAAAGCGACAGCAATAAAAGCCGGTGTACATTTTTTAAATATCTTTGCAATATCTTTTATAGTGGATGAATGTAGGATGTACATCGGATTCTTACAATATGCATGGTGTCTTTCAGCAATATCGCCAAAAATAATCGTCAAATATTCTCCCTTTATGTCTGACTTGATGCACCACCAGTCAGTGCATTGTGCGCGCGACCCTCGCTCTGTCTAGTTGCGCGCAACAGATGAGAACATGCAAGCGCGCCAAATAGGAAGAACGTTGTGTAGCTAGCTACGTGCTGATCAAATTCGCAGCATAGTAAACAAACCATACCAAAAGCCAGGTAGCTAACTAGATACTGTAAGCTACTAAACTTTAATTTCACTTATGAGGGAGCTTAATCACCAGTTACTTTTCCTGGAACTTCGAGGCAGGACCAGAAATCGATTGGACTAGTAGGAACTTGCCGAACAAGCCAAGGTAAGCGTCAAGTGTTTTGTCTCTCTGCTAGTCTGACTGCTTTGTATCAGCTGCTAAGCCATGTTGCCATCTAACTAGCTTGCTAACGTTCCCTTGCTAAATAAATAAATCAAGAAAATGTTGTTAGCAAGCTACAGATCATCTCTAGTGGCCAGTTGTTGTCATGGGAACATCCGGCGTGCACTGTTTGTTAGCCAGGAAGGAACAGCAGAGTCAGACAACAACAGACATTTGCATTGGAGCAAACAGTGACAGAAAAAAAAAATCTAATTATTTAGAGGACGTTAGTGCACTAGCTAGTTACACAGGGGATAGGGGGTCATTTGAGACGCAGACAGTGAAAGGGTTCATAACGCCTATTCTGTTGCACGTAAGGTTCAAATTCCGTTTTTACAATACAGCTAGTTAGTTACCCCTTTAAATACGAGTTTCATCTAATAACACTGCAGTATTGAACAGCAGTCCAGAAGCCACCAATGAATAGGTGAACTCTTGTCTACAACCCTTTCTTCATTCAATACACTACCATAGCTCAGATATCTCACCACACCCACTGTATGCTCACCCCTATGTCTGACCTCCCTGACCTCTCACCCAGTTATTTTGTTCTTCCACCCCCTCCTTCTCCTGTCCCACTAACAGCAATGGACCAGGGTGGTGGTGTGGCGTTGTGGCCTCGCATGGAGCCATTCCTCTTGGGGGCTCTGCAGGTGGCACCCCCTACCAAACTCAGCCTGCACTACCTGCGCAAGATGGCTGCCTACGTGCGCTCACGAGAGGGCTGCTTCCCCATGCTGGGCTGGCTCATGTGGAGGCACATCGCCTGTGGCAAGCTGCAGCTCCCTGAGGACCTGGCCTGGCTCTACTTCGAGACCTTTGACCTGCTGGTTGGTCATCCTGCAGAGGAGAGGCTGGAGTGGGCTGAGAACCTGTCCCAGTGCTCCTCCGCCAGAGAGCTGGACCGCCAGAGGAGCAAGGTGAGCCGTGAGCACACTAGCGACAGGGGGAGGGATGAGAAAAGGGCAGAGACCTGTATGACTATGCCCCCCAGGGATGTGTTGGCAGTTGGACTGTAATAATATCTATCCTGTTGTATCCTGCACTCCTTTTGTTTAGACAGACGTTGACAGGAGTCTGTTCATGATCCTTTTAGGTATTGTTTGTGAGACTGTCCTATGTGAAGTATTGGTTTGTGTTCAGAATCAGATAAAGAGATTTCTCTGTATTTCCCTCTTCTCTATTTTCCAGTTGTGTGTGGACACGCTGCAGTTCCTCCTCTTCCTCTACATTCAGCAGCTGAACCGGGTGTCTCTGCGTACATCTCTGATTGGTGAAGAGTGGCCCAGCCCCCGCTCTCGCTCACCCTCCTCGGACCGCGAGGCAAAGACCAGCTCTCAAAACAAGGTCCTGTTGCTCTATATTGCTTACAGGTTCAACGGCATACTGAGAGTGGAAATGTACATGATCAGGTCTCTCTAACCTATCTCTATACATTATTTAGTTTTCTTTCTTGAAATGCAAAGCAAAACATGATGTTGTAGTAATTGACATTGTAATATAAAAAAGTCCCCTGTAGCTCAGTTGGTAGAGCATGGCGCTTGCAACGCCAGGGTTGCGGGTTCGTTTCCCACGGGGGGCCAGTATGAAAATGTATGCACTCAGTAACTGTAAATGGATAAGAGCATCTGCTAAATGACCAAAATGTATTAGCTCCCATATCCATGCATTGTATCATTGCTCACAGTCTTTTCACCCTGTTGTTGTGATCAGAACTGGGATGACCAGGCCCACCTGTCCTTCCTCCAGGCCCACCTGTGTGAGCTGCTGGAGCTGCTAGTAGAACCAGGCCAGCTGTCAGGGTCCGGCCAAGCCGTGAAGGACAGCCAGGTCTCTCTGGAGGCTCTACAGGTGAAGGGAGGGAACATAGTATGCATCCCAAATGGCACCCTATTCCCTATATAGTGCACTATATAGGGAAAAGGGTGCAATTTGGGATGCACTCATCCTCAACTATATCTTCTTGCATAAAACAGTGAAAGGTCCCATAACATGCCCAAAATGTTGCAGTGTTCATTCAGTTTTTACAATACAACAATTTTCCTTTTCAGTAAAGAACAATACAATAAAATATTTTCTCTACAGGGCCTCAGCCTGCTGCTGGAGGGCTCAGTATCCCGCGGCCGGACCGTCCACCCCATCCACAAGCTGCTCTCCAGAGCCCCAATCCAGGCCCAGGCAGGGTACTCCAAACTCAGCCGCTCCTTCTCCCTGCACCCACTGATGGCGTGGCTCAGACAGGCCCTGGTCCCCAACCCCTTTGGGATGTCAACCTGCCTGAGGTCTGGGAAGAAGCTGGCCTGGGCTCAGCAAGGTCGGTTACTACCACCCAAAGTAAACCCTTATGTGGATCATTAATTGATATTTAGATGTCACAGTCAAATAAGGTATGTTAGTATGTTTATAGAAATTAGTGTGTTATCTTGTAACTTTCTAGCTCACCTTTTTCTGTGGGAGATGTGGAGAGCTATCAGGATTGAAGCATGGCTGGCTGTCTGTCTGTGACTGTCTTTTCTGTTTGTTCTCCTGTCCTCCAGTGGAGGGAGCTATGAAGAGAGCTAAGATTGCCCGGAACACCCACATGGCCCCCCCAGGCAGCAAGATGGTGCTGATGTCACAGGTGTTCAGACAGACCCTGGCCAAGGACTCAGACAAGCTAGTGGGAGCTAACGTCAAAATACACCGTTGCAGTGACGCTTTTATCTACCTGCTCTCTCCACTCAGGTGAGGTTCTCTACCCAGAGTCAGACTGGACACTACAGCTTCACCTAAATACAATAACATTTCAATAGAATGATCCCTTTTCTCAGATGAGATGGCATTCCCCGTGGTGTGTGTTTCAGGTCAGTGAGCCTGGACAAGTGTCGTAACAGCACGGTAGTCCTGGGTCCCATCGAGACCAGTATCCACATCCAGAGCTGTGAGAACGTTAAGGTGGTGTGTGTAGCTGGCCGTCTGGCCATAGGGTCCTCCTCCTACTGTACCATCCACGCCCTCACCCCCACCCGGCCCCTACTGCTCCCCGGGAACACTGCTCTCACCCTGGGGCCCTTCCACACACACTACCCCTCCCTGGAGGATCACATGGCCAGTGTAGGTCTAGCTGTGGTGCCCAACGCCTGGGACCAGCCCTTACTGGTGGGAGTGGAGGGTACCACCCCAGACCCTGGATCCTACAGGCTGCTGCCGCCTGCTGAGTTCTGCCCCCTTGTGGTGCCCTTCAGGATGGAGGGGGATACGTGTGAGGTGCCAGGCGGGCTGCCATCGCTGTACCAGAAGACCCATGAGGAGAGGGAGAAGAGTGTACAGGACTGGCAGAAGACAGTGAAGGATGCCCACTTGAACAAGTGGGTCATTAACAAAACTGCTAGATTAATTAGCAATGGAAATTTGACTAGGACTCAGAGAATGGAAACATGAAGTGCTTCCCAGTTTCCATGATCAACTCTTAAACATGTCTGCTGATTTTATAGAGGGTTGTGAGCTCAGGGGGTCTGGTAATGTTTCTCTTGTTGCTCTATTCAGTCAGGCTTCTCTGTTTTCAGGGAGCAGCGGCGTCAGTTCCAGGCCCTGGTGGAGCAGAAGTTCCATGAGTGGCTGTTGGAGTCGGGACACAGGCAGGAGCTGGACAGCCTTATCCCCCCATACATCGCGTCCCAGGACCCCTCGGACAGCGACAGCCTGGAGGCCAGGACCAATGATACCAGACAGGAAGGGACATCTAGACAGGAAGTGGGGCAGACACCTATGCCTTGCTGACCTTTTGGGTTATTGTTGATTTGAGATCCTCATACAAAGCTCTTGCCTTTGCTTCACAGTCAGCTGTTTGTCTCACAGCCACTAGCACCTCTAATCCCTTTGTTTGCCTGCTGTCTGTCCACAGTTCTAGGCAGGATCTGATCTGAGGATCACTAGACTACAGAAGGAGGGTGGCCTGGTATTGACGACTGGCTCTGTTCTAGTCCCCTTCATCCAGACTGTTGCGTTCCCCTTCTCCTGAAGTGTGCACTTGTACACTCCCTCTCATGTATTTTACAACGGTGTGGATGTGCAGGGTAGAGAATCAGGACAAAGCCAGTGGTCCAAGAGCACTTGGGGTACGATAAGAGAGTAGATCTGTGTAGTCTGGTTCTGCAGTAGTTACTGTACCATTTGAAATAATAGGGAATCAGGTTGTGCTGTTAATCCAGAGATTGACATCGTCCAGTATATGGAAAAAATTAATTAATGTATACATCTGATTGTACTGTATGTATGATATTAAGTCTTAATATGCCTTTTCTGGTAGCATAGGAGAGAGGGTGTGATGAATTTAAAGGTCTGTGCCTCTTCAATAAATTCCAATGAATTTAGTACCGTCCTAGCCTGAGTGCCAATCTGTTGTGCTATCGTGTCAACTCATTACTACTGTTTCAAAATGTTTGGCTTGACAATGATCAATGGAGTTGGCAAGAGCACAAACAGATGTGGGTCCAGGCTAGTACTTCCCTGGGATGGGTACTTGAAGCCTGTAGTCTTTAGACAGCACCCACCTCTAAGAGGATGGATGACAGGGCACATTAGTGTAATGAGAAGAGAAACATGCCTTTGAGGGAGCAGTTATATTCCATTATATGGGTCAAGGGACAGTGGACCTAAAGCAAAGCTCTGTGTCCTGTTAAAATAAGCCTAGCATGCGTCAGAGGATGCTGATGTGCTAGGTAACCTAAGTCTTTCCATTTCTTGTTAGTCCTCTCCCTTTCTTCAGTGTGGAGAAGGATGGATGAGATTATGTTGTGGTTATTATGTCTTACTGCTGTAGCTTAGTTCTCAGTGACTTGCCTTTCAATTAAATTGCACTATGCTGCCCTATCTACACAGTTACAATGGAATTAATTTGCAATGGTTTGAGCACAATTTTGTTTAGTTCTCAAGTATTCTTTAGACATGAATAAACTATTTGTTTTTTGCTTTGACGTGCCTTTTTATGTGTTGTTGTTGATTAGCGTACTTTCCTAGAGACCCTGTGTATCGACCTCAATTAATGTTTAGTTATACTGTTAGACTAATCACACACCATTACAATTAGCTGTAGCACAGTCAACATGTATAGAGATTACGGCAATGACCTTAAAGGGGCAATCTGCAGTTCAAACAATAAAGTGGCCACCCCACCACTGATTTGGTAAATAGCTGAGGATTGAGGCTGGAGGCAAGGACTGACCATCCGTAAGATCAAAATTATAGTTTTATCCATGTTTGAGGCTATACAGTGGTTGTTTACAACTACATTGTTTACAAACAAATGAGTAAAACAAGCTTATATTTGGGGTTTTGATGGGGTAAGACAATTGAACTTAGCTCATGAGCCATTTACAAGTTATATTCTTAGAATCAATGGGTATATGCACTACCGTTCAAAAGTTTGGGGTCACTTAGAAATGTATTTGTTTTTGAAAGAAAAGCCATATCTCAGACTGGCCATCTTAATCTTTTATTGGCCAGTCTGAGATATGGCTTTTTCTTTGCAACTCTGCCTAGAAGGTCAGCATCCCGGAGTTGCCTCTTCACTGTTGATGTTGAGACTGGTGTTTTGCGGGTACTATTAAATGAAGCTGCCAGTTGAGGAACTGTGAGGTGTCTGTTTCTCAAATAATAATATAATAATAATATGCCATTTAGCAGACGCTTTTATCCAAAGCGACTTACAGTCATGTGTGCATACATTTTTACGTATTGGTGGTCCCGGGGATCGAACCCACTACCCTGGCGTTACAAGCGCCGTGCTCTACCAATTGAGCTACAGAGGACCACAATTGTGAGGTATCAAAATTAAAATCTTTACCAAGAGAGAAAAAAAGTGTCATGAATGAGAAGCCAAAAATGGAAATGACTTTGTGCAAGGTTGAGTGAATATAATTGATGCACTGATGAAACCTCGGATGTATAGCTTGTGATGTACATGTGACCTCTAACAGCTTTGAGTGAGCTACAGTAAGCTGTTGTACCTTCACCTACATATGTATTAATGCAACAATATGAAAAACAGACGTTACACATAAAAGGAACCAAGAATGAGAAGATCTAACCCAAATAGCAAACAAATCCACTGCTGTACAATTCAGCTACCAAATACCAAGTACTTTCAAATCTAATGAAATCTCTACTGGCCAAAATAAAGCATTCACCTGGGAACCTCAGGTTTTAGTGCAATTGGATGGACCTTTGACATAAACATTCTCACTGTCGGTTCTTTCTATCAATGGCATTGAACCAGTATCTTTTTTACATTGATCATCTGGGTCATGTTCATTAGGGCATACCTTAGCAAAATGTTTTGCAACAGAAACCAAAAACAAGTGTTCCTTATTGGACAAGTTCAGATCACACTACCTCCCCATTTCCCAGTTTTTCTGCAGTTTCAAGCCTAGAAAACTAGACACTCTAATGTATTTGTCCTCTTGCTCAGTTGTGCACCGGGGCCTCCCACTCCTCTTTCTATTCTGGTTAGAGCCAGTTTGCGCTGTTCTGTGAAGGGAGTAGTACACAGCATTGTACGAGATCTTCAGTTTCTTGGCAATTTCTCGCATGGAATAGCCTTCATTTCTCAGATCAAGAATAGACTGACAAGTTTCAGAAGAAAGTTCTTTGTTTCTGGCCATTTTGAGCCTGTAATCGAACCCACAATTGCTGATGCTCCAGATACTCAACTAGTCTCAAGAAGGCCAGTTTTATTGCTTCTTTAATCAGCACAACAGTTTTCAGCTGTGCTAACATAATTGAAAAAGGGTTTTCTAATGATCAATTTGCCTTTTAAAATGAAAAACTTGGATTATCAAACACAACGTGCCATTGGAACACAGGACTGATGGTTGCTGATAATGGGTCTCTGTACGCCTATGTAGATATTCCATTAAAAATCTGCTGTTTCCAGCTACAATAGCCATTTACAACATTAACAATGTCTACACTGTATTTCTGATCAATTTGATGTTATTTTAATGGACAAGAAAATTGCTTTTCTTAAGAAAACAAGGACATTTCTAAGTGACCCCAAACTTTTGAACGGTAGTGTATATCATGAATTTAAAAGTAAACAAATGTGTGTAGCAATCGCAGATTGCCCCTTTAAATGCTCTCTACTTATGAACTAACTTGAAACTTTCCCAACCAAACTGTCTTGGCTCTGTTTGGGCTCATGACATAGCTTGACATTATTTGGCCAATTCAGGGCAAAGGGACTGTGCACTGGTACATCAACTATTTTTAGCTAAGACTGGAGGGGAACAGATATTGCACAATTCACCTCAGAGTCCTTCCTTCCTTTGTCTCTTTTGAACATTCATTGGCCCCAGAGGGGGAATGGAAGAGATTGATTGGCCTGCATACTTAACTGATTTTCTGATTTCCATGCTTCTAAATAGTCTTCTAGTGTAATGGACCTTGCGTCTTTGAAATGTCTGATGTATGCCTCCAAGCACACCCACACACCTTTCTACCCTGCTGTTGTTAGTTGAAGACGTGACTACGCCTGGAGAGAACTTGTGCCACTTCAGGAGCACAATATCCCTCTGCATCTGGGCAGAATTTGGCACATTTGGCAGACTGTTGGCATGAGGTGGTGGGCACAGTGGGCATAGGCTGGGTGGGGGTGAGGGGAGCAGGGTGGCATGCAGGGTGGGTGTGTGTTGTGGTGGGTATGGGGGTCGAGGTGAGTTGGGGGGCATTTCAGCGAGCCAGCAGAGAGGGGGGTCAAAGGGCACTCTCACCATGGTACCATTATGCCGTAATCCTGCTTCGCTTTTCTGGAAAAACTGAATAGCACTAGAATCACTGACTACATTTTACAATCTCATTTTAATGACAAAGCAATTGTTTTTCTCATAGCCGCCACAGTTTATACAACTGGGAGGCTGGTTATATAAAAGGGCTTGGGTGGTAGGACCAGAGACATCCAGCATCCAGCCTTCAGGGGGACCATCAGACCACCGCTATCTATCAAGCCTAGCCCACATACAATGTCCAAAATGGGCAGGGTGAGTAACAGGGTTATAGCCACTTGGCTCTGGACTGCCACCAACTCCATCAGAACAGGTTTTAATGCAGATATGGTGGATAGGACAGGACACTCAGGTTTGCCACAGTGATTGTATGGTGGCAGTAGCACAGCAGCGATTTTTTGTGGTGTTTTTGGTATAGTTATGGGATGGCCCATTTGAATATTTTGTGTCAAACTTGACTGATTTATCCTGCCAGCCATAGTAATAATAGTGTAGTTTTGTGTGATACCATGGCATATACACTGTAAGTGGATGGCACTATTGCCAGACCTCACTTCTCAACCCCATCTGTGAACTGGAATGCTGGTAAAAGCTTGTCAGCACTGATGTCCTACAGACACTAAACCCTCTGCCTGGCCTAAACACAAATGTGATTGGAAATCCAGTCTTCGATTTGGCATTCAAGTGCCATTGAAAATATTTACATTAAAGTTTTCCTGTGCTGGAAAGACTAACTCAAACTGATGAGTTTACCCCCGTCCATGTCTTTTATACTGAACAAAAATATAAACGCAAGATGTAAAGTGTTTCATGAGCTGAAATAAAAGATCCCAGAAATGTTCCATATGCACAAATTTGTTTACGTCCCTGTTAGTGAGTATTTCTCCTTTGCCAAGATAATCCATCCACCTGACAGGTGTGGCATATCAAGAAGCTGATTAAACAGCATGATCATTACACAGGTGCACCGTGTGCTGGGGACTATAAAAGGCCACTCTAAAATGTGCAGTTTTGTCACACAACACAATGCCACAGATGTCTCAATTTTCTCTACCATAAGCCGCCTCCAACGTCGTTTTAGAGAATTTGGCAGTATGTCCAACTGGCCTCACAACCGCAGACCACGTGTAACCACGCCAGCCCAGGACCTCCACATCTGGCTTCTTTACCTGCAGGATCGTCTGAGACCAGCCACCCGGACAGCTGATGAGTAGTTCTGTCTGGGGAAAAACTCATTCTGATTGGCTGGGCCGGGCTCCCCAGTGGGTGGGTGGGCCTATGCCCTCCCAGGCCCACCCATGGCTACGCCCCTGCCCAGTCATGTGAAATCCATAGATTAGGGCCTAATGAATTTATTTCAATTTACTGATTTCCTTATATGAACTGTAACTCAATAAAATCAATGAAATTGTTGCATGTTCAGTATTAGCTGCAAAGAAACGCATCAGGAATGTGTTGAGTGGATTGACTTGTTCTTTGGTAATCACTAGGCACTGGGAGGGTTGGCGTCAGCTGGATGATTTGAGCAAGGACCACATTACTTAAATATTTTAGGTTGGAAAGAGCCATTAATTGTGTGAAAAGGTACCTACATGTGTCCTACAGTGCAGTCCAGAGCATTTATCAAGCATAAAAACCTAAGGTCAACCCACTCACGCTTTCTTCCAGATTGTCTTTTACGAGGTTAATTTACAGGGTGTCATTATGAGTGTGACAGCAACTGCACAGAACTCCCATTCCTACCCACTGTAACTCCATCCGTGTGGAGAGTGGTGCCTGGGTGGTCTACGAGAGGCCCAACTACATGGGCTACCAGTATGCTGAACTGTCTGAATGGAGTGTACTGTATGTTGTATTAGAAGACATAACACTTCACTTCAATGCAAGGGGTATGCTATGCAGTGTGTAACTGTAATTTCATAGATCAATAGACAAACCAAGAATAGCTCCTATAGTGATAGCAAAAGCGGTATAAACAGGGCATATGCAGGATAGGCATATTAGGCATCCCAATCCCAATGAGACCAAGCACAGGACAGGACAGTGACAGTTCCCCCCGGTCCTCAGGGCTTGGCCAATGGAGATCAATACCAGCTTATAGCACTGATCACACTGATCGCTATGGGCTGACCTAGTGCTGGCAGGCAGAATCAGACATACACTTCCACTGTAGAATCAATCCATTTTGCAACTTTGACACAACAATGCTGCAGAATATGGTGGTGGATATACTCTATAACACAGGAAGCCATAAACGGTGCAAACAGCAGAAGCAGGAGGAAAAAATACAACAGGTAATGTTATAAAAAGAGACGTTTAGTTTCTCACGATGGTCCTTTCAGTTTCGGACTCAAGAGTATAAAAACATTGTAATGGTGATGGATCGGTAGACAAATAGATTTTTAGATCGAACAGAACATTGACAAAAACAGAACAATACTTTACAAACCTTACATCGTAGCCCCCAAAATAAACAACAAGTTGTTGAGTAAGAATCTCATCTCCCTACATATCCCTCTTTCTCTTTCTCTTACCCCACATCCCATCCCCCTTCTTTCCCAATCCCTTGCACTAACCCCTCGCCTCCATCTCCCCTACTACCACCACCCCTCACCCCTCACCCCCATCCCCACCACCCTCACACCTACCTCTGCAGAACAGTGGGACCCAGTACAAGATGCAGCTGTATGAGAAGGACGACTTTGCGGGCCAGTCCCGGAGACGTACGTTGGAGGGAGGTGTACTCCTGCAAGGTCCTGGATGGCTGGTGGGTCTTCTACGAGCACTCCAACTACCGCGGACGCCAGTACTTCCTGGATAAGGGAGAGTACAGGAAGCCTGGGGACTGGGGTGCAGTCAGCCCCACTGTCCAGTCCTTCAGAGGCTTCACTGAATGATCCTCCTGACCCCAACAACCTCAACCTCTTCTATTATCATACATAATATGGACTTTGAATAACCCTATTACTATGAGTCCTATCCTATTACTGTGAGTCCTATCCTATTACTATGAGTCCTATCCTATTACTGTGAGTCCTATCCTATTACTATGAGTCCTATCCTATTACTGTGAGTCCTATCCTATTACTGTGATTCCTATCCTATTACTGTGAGTCCTATCCTATTACTATGAGTCCTATCCTATTACTGTGAGTCCTATCCTATTACTAGAGTCTTCTGAGTCCTATCCTATTACTATGAGTCCTATCCTATTACTGTGATTCCTATCCTATTACTATGAGTCCTATCCTATTACTATGAGTCCTATCCTATTACTATGAGTCCTATCCTATTACTATGAGTCCTATCCTATTACTATGAGTCCTATCCTATTACTATGAGTCCTATCCTATTACTGTGAGTCCTATCCTATTACTGTGAGTTCCTATCCTGAGTCTATCTATTACTGTGAGTCCTATCCTATTACTATGAGTCCTTATCCTATTACTGTGATCCTATCCTATTACTATGAGTCCTATCCTATTACTATGAGTCCTATCCTATTACTGTGAGTCCTATCCTATTACTATGAGTCCTATCCTTTACTAGATCCTATCCTATTACTATGAGTCCTATCCTATTACTGTGATTCTATCCTATTACTGTGAGTCCTATCCTATTCTATGAGTCCTCCTATTACTGTAGTCCTATCCTATTACTATGAGTCCTATCCTATTACTATGAGTCCTATCCTATTACTATGAGTCCTATCCTATGAGTCCTATCCTATTACTGTGAGTCCTATCCTATTACTGTGAGTCCTATCCTATTACTGTGAGTCCTTTGTGACTTTACTGAGGTCTCACCTGAAACAAAAACGTGTCTGGTCAGCATATCTGATATGTTGGGACTTCTTTGTGTGTCTGTGTGAGTGAGTGTGTGGTGCTGGAAAGTAGCATTATTTTGTCCAAAAGGCATGACCTTGAACTGCTGCAATCCAAAGGAAGATGTAACTCAGCCACTGATTCATTTTGGTGCAATACGGAGCAATCTTTTCTGTTGGAATCACCCAAATAACAAGGGAACTAATAAGAGAATGTCACAAACTTCTACAGGTGTCAAGATATCTTATCGATGCTTCACAGTTCCACTGACACAAGTCGACTCAGCCTGCCATTACCAAGTTGAGTTGTCCTCACAAAGAATACTTCTAGCAACCATGTCTCATAGTTATAGAACAGGCTTGAGGTCCCACAGTGACAGCGTGAGGGTTGTGATGAGTCCGAAAGGAGAAGCAGTTTCCTCCTCCACCAATCAGAGCCATCATTGTTGACCCGTCAGAGTCATTAGAGTCCAGGAGCTCCGAGCAGAAGGAGTGCAGCATGAGAGGCCAGGGTACAGCAGACTAGAAGAGGGACAGAGAGAGATGGCAGTGAATCCATTTTATATTGTCTGTGTGACTGTGTGCAGTGAAAGCAGGGGTATAATATAACAAGGGGTTCGGCAGACTAGGGGAGGATAAGAGATATGGCAGCTGGCACTCAGTGAATCCATTTTGTGTAGCCCATGACAGTGTGTACAGTGAATCCATTTTGTGTGTGTTATCTGTGAGCGTGTGTGCACTACAGTGAATACAGGGATGTAATATAACCGGGTCAACACCTAGTCAGTGTCCAGGATAAGCTCCACACTGCCCCCTGTGGTCAGGTCTGTAACAGCAACCCCTGGCACGCCCTCATCCTGCAGCCAAACTCCTCCCACCAACACCAGCCGATTACCAATCACATGGGCACACTGGGAATATCTGGAACGAATGGAGGATGGTACCAGCGTTAAAACAACCCTTTGATTTAGCAGAACAATATCCTGGGCTCATTTAGAGGAGGACTACGGTGTCTGAAACAACTTATCTGTCCATTAAATTAACTCACTCCATGTTAAAACAATATGCAAAACACAAAGTGACACGATACTGTGAAATCAAGTATCAGCCACTAGACTGTGTTTTCCTGTATCTGAGTTGTTGAAGCTCCACACCTGGGCACTAGAGGGGGTTGGAGCTGCAGTCTCTCCCAGCAGAAGCCTGTGGTGGTGGGCCCCAGTAGGACTGTATCCCCTAGTGGAACACTTCCTCTACCCAAACCTCCACAGATCACCACCCCTCCTTCATATGGACAGGCTGAACTGGAGAAGCGAGGCTCAGGCGCAGTGCCCTCTATAGGAATCTGCAAAAACACTTAGTCAAAGTTCAGTGATATTGTATTTCTTTGGTATAGGCAGCAGTGGAGGCTGCTGAGGGGAGGATGGCTCATAATAATGGCTGGAACGGAGTGAATGGAAAGGCATCAAACCATGTGTTTGATGTATTTGATACCAGTCCACTGATTCCGCTCCTGCCATTACCACGAACCCATCCTCCCCAATTAAGGTTCCACCAACCTCCTGTGGTAGGCAGGCTACGTTCCCCACAGCTAGGTAATATAATGAACAGCAAAGTAAACAAACCCACCTCGGTCCAACGCTGGTCATCAAGACACAGAAAGTGGGCGTCACCCAGTGCATCCTCAGCCTCGTTCCGTCCTCCAAACACAAACAGGAAGTTCTGACCTGTGAGGAAGAGACAGGAGAAGACAGTTGAAGCATTTTTGCCATTAAAACAAAGTTCTATCAGTAATCCCTGCTGCTGACAAACTGACTTTAGATCAACCTGTAAAGGAACCAGAGCATATGAGCGGAGTGGAGCGGGAGCGAGCGTGGAGCGTGAGCGGACGGATTTTGAACAGAGCGCAGAGCGGCATTTTTAAAAGGATGGAGCGTCGCCCTATGTCCCGCTCCAATTTCGCTCGCTCACACCACGAGTCTGAAGCATGCTCAAGCCTGACCCAGAATCCATCTTCTTTCTCGGGAGAGGTTGTGTTTTCTCTAGCAGGAGGTAAGCTTGGCTTCTTATATGGTGTTGAGTAAAGCTTAAACCATGTATTTAGATTGTAGGTAGGTAGTTGTAGTTAGGTATTGTAGGTAGTTTATTTAGGTAGTTATTTAGGTAGTTATTGTAGGTTTCTGTAGGTAATTATTGTAGGTAAGTATTGTTTACGGCGGAGCCCGGCGAAGCACGAGGCTAGCTAGCTAGCGGGTAGCTACTGGTAACGTTTAGCAACGGTGGAGAGTTGTTTCCAATGTTATTTCACGCTTAAGAGTACCTGTAATTAAGCCAGCTAGCTACCTACCATTCAGCCGTTTTTCTAACCTCATTATCTGAGCCATCAACGTTAGGTAGTTAGTAGCTACTGTACTTAATTACACCTACTGATTGCAGAAGACAAATGTCAGCTGGCGTCGGGTAAGTTTGGCTTTATACATAGCTTGGGCTTTGTCGAGTAAGGCTTAATTATGTATTTAGATTGCAGTTAGGTATTGTAGGTAGGCCCGCAGCACGAAGCTAGCTAGCTAGCCGTTTTTCAAACAAAGTCAACACAGTAGCCATTGCTAGCTAGCCAACACGACCAGCTAACTGTACTGTAGCAGCTAAATACAATATATTTGTGCTAGCTAGCCAACGTTTAATTTTTGCTGCGTTATGAAAGGAACTAGACACGGACACGAATTATCTGTTTACATTTACATTTACATTTTAGTCATTTAGCAGACGCTCTTATCCAGAGCGACTTACAGTTAGCACATACATTATTTTTATCGAACCCACAACCCTGGCGTTGCAAACGCCATGCTCTACCAACTGAGCTACATCCCCTGCCGGCCATTCCCTCCCCTACCCTGGACGACGCTGGGCCAATTGTGCGCCGCCCCATGGGTCTCCCGGTCGCGGCCGGCTACGACAGAGCCTGGATTCGAACCAGGATCTCTAGTGGCACAGCTAGCACTGCGATGCAGTGCCTTAGACCACTGCGCCACTCAGGAGAAGCTAGCTAGCTAGCCGTTTTTCAAACAAAGTCCACACAGTAGCCATTGCTAGCTAGCCAACACGACCAGCTAACTGTACTGTAGCAGCTAAATACAATATATTTGTGCTAGCTAGCCAACGTTTAATTATTGCTGCGTTATGAAAGGAACTAGACACGGACACGAATTATCTGTTTAGTGTGTTAACACACTATTGGTAGTTTGTTGTAACCAAGTATTGGTGCTAAACTGTGTGTTATTGGATGCTAGCATGCTAGTTAGCTATGGTGTCATAGTTAGCTAGCTGAATAAAGTAAGTTGAGTCTATTCCTTGAAACATTGAACCGCTGTAGTTCACAACAATTCTAATTTCTAAAAGTGGAAGTTGGGAGAGTTTTTGTTCGGGTGGTTCAGTGAAACAATTATAGTTTCTGAGGTGGAAGTTTTGGTGAGGGAGGCCCTACTCTCTCCTTTCCCAGATGTTTAGTTCATTTCATTCCGATCTCCTCTGCATTATTGTAGCCATTTGCTACAGCCTGTCAACTATGCCTCTGCCTATCCCTGTTCTCTCCTCTCCGCACAGGCTACACAAACGCCTCACACCGCGTGGCTGCTGCCTCTCTAACCTGGTGGTCCCTGCACGCACCCCACACCTGGAGTTCCAGGTCTCAGGCAGCCTCTGGAACTGCCGTTCTGCTGCCAACAAAGCTGACTTCATCCCAGCCTATGCTAACCTCCAGTCCCTCGACTTCCTGGCGCTGACGGAAACATGGATTACCACTGAAAACACTGCTACTCCTACTGCTCTCTCCTCGTCTGACCATGTGTTCTCGCATACCCCGAGAGCATCTGGTCAGAGGGGTGGTGGCACAGGAATCCTCATCTCTCCCAAGTGGACATTCTCAATTTTTCCCCTAACCCATCTGTCTATCTCCTCATTTGAATTCCATGCTGTCACAGTCACTAGCCCATTTAAGCTTAATATCCTTGTCATCTATCGCCCTCCAGGTTCCCTTGGAGAGTTCATCAATGAGCTTGACGCCTTGATAAGTTCCTTTCCTGAGGATGGCTCACCCCTCACAGTTTTGGGGGATTTCAACCTCCCTACGTCTACATTTGACTCATTTCTCTCTGCCTCCTTCTTTCCACTCCTCTCCTCTTTTGACCTCACCCTCTCACCGTCCCCCCCCTACTCACAAGGCAGGCAATACGCTTGACCTCATCTTTACTAGATGCTGCTCTTCTACTAATCTCACTGCAACTCCCCTCCATGTCTCCGACCACTACTTTGTTTCCTTTTCTCTCTCGCTCTCCTCCAACACTACTCACTCTGCCCCTACACAGATGGTAATGCGCCGCCGCAACCTTCGCTCTCTCTCTCCCACTACTCTCTCCTCTTCCATCCTATCATCTCTTCCCTCTGCTCAATCCTTCTCCCTCCAATCTCCTGATTCTGCCTCCTCAACCCTCCTCTCCTCCCTTTCTGCATCCTTTGACTCTCTGTGTCCCCTATCCTCCCGGCCGGCTCGGTCCTCCCCTCCAGCTCCGTGGCTTGATGACTCAATTGCGAGCTCACAGAACAGAGCTCCGGGCAGCGGAGCGGAAATGGAAGAAAACTAAACTCCCCCTGCCGACCTGGCATCTTTTCACTCCCCTCCTCTCTACATTTTCTTCATCTGTTTTCTGCTGCTAAGGCCACTTTCTACCACTCTAAATTCCAAGCATCTGCCTCTAACCCTAGGAAGCTCTTTGCCACATTCTCCTCCCTGAAAAAAAAAAAAAAAAACCCCCCCCCCCCCCCCCCCCCCCCCCCCCCCCCCCCCCCCCCCCCCCCCCCCCCCCCCCCCCCCCCCCCCCCCCCCCCCCCCCCCCCCCCCCCCCTTCCCCCTTCCTTCCCAGTAAAAAGGAAGGGGTTTACGAACCGAAAAATCCCCCTTTTTTTCCCCTTTTAACCTTCCTTACCCCAACCCCCTACCTATGCTTTAAATTTTTCCTTCCCCTTTTTTCCCCCCGTTTTAAAAAAGCGAGGTTTCACCCCCCAAAAAAAACCCTTGCCCCTTGGAAAACCCCCCATTCCCCTTTTTTCCTTTTTTTCCAAACCATTCCCCGGGGCCCTTCCTCCCCTAACTCCCTCGAAAGAATTTTAAAACCTCATTTTGGACCGGGGGATTCCCTTCCTTTTTCGGGACGGAGGTTGCCCCTAAAAAAACCCCTTTTTCCCCTGTTTTTCCCTAAAACCGGGTTCCCTTTTTTCCTTTTCCCCTTTTCCAAAATAATTGAGGGGCCGTCCCTTTTCCAAATCCTTTTCTTTTCCCCCGAAGACCTTCGTCAAAAAAAGTCCAGGTTTCCGGACCTGGTTCAACTGGTGCCCCCCCCTTTTGTTCAGGCCCTCCCCACTCCCCAAACCAATTTTTCCCCTTGGGTTGCCTTCCCCAAAATGGCCCCCTCCTTTTGATACGTAACCACCAATTTTCCCCCCTTTCCCCCTTTTTCCAGTGGGGCTCCCTCTCATTCCCGGAAGCTTTTAATTTACGGTCCCCCTCCCAATGGCCCCCGGGGAAAACGGGGTGTCTTTCCCCAAGGACTCCCCGGGGTTCCCCGGGCTCGTTTTAGGGCCCTCCTTTTCCCCCTCCCCCCAATTCAACCCTTTGGGGTCCCCGCAACCCCCTGGCTTTTTCCTACATTCAACGGTGACCCCATCCTAATTTTCCTTTCCCCTTAAACCAGATCGAATGCCTTCCCGGAAACGGCCCGGCCTAAACCAGGATTTGGGATCATCCCCTAACTGAAACCCCAAACCCTGGGGGCCTTTCCCCCCGGGAAACCCCCCCTCATGCCGAAATTGGGCAACCCGTTTGTGTTCCCTTCCCCCAAGTCCCCCCGTACCCCCCCCCCGGACAAACCCCTGGTTTTCCCGGCTAACCTTAACAAGACCGGGCTTTCCTAAAACATGGGGGAACGGAACCCCCGTACCCAAAAGGCCTCCGAAAACCCCCTTTTTTCCCCTTAACACCCGGGGGGCCTTGCGTTCCCTTCCCACCTCCTGGGCCTTTTTTCCTTTGGCCCCCCCCCCTTCCCCTCCTGGCCCGGGAAAGGGATTTAAAATTTTTCCCAGCCTTTGGGCCCCTCCCCCAAAATTTTAGACTGTCTCTCCCTTTGAACTGTCCTTCTAGACTGTGCTGCCTTTGTACTGTGAACCATCAGATCTCCTCCACCCTCTCCGAGCTGGGCATCTCCGGCGTGGCTCACTCCTGGTTTGCGTCCTACCTGACCGGTCGCTCCTACCAAGTGGCGTGGCGAGAAGCTGTCTCCGCACCATGTGCTCTCACCACTGGTGTCCCCCAGGGCTCAGTTCTAGGCCCTCTCCTATTCTCCCTATACACCAAGTCACTTGGCTCTGTCATATCCTCACATGGCCTCTCCTATCATTGCTACGCTGACGATACACAACTAATCTTCTCCTTTCCCCCTTCTGATAACCAGATGGCGAATCGCATCTCTGCATGTCTGGCAGACATATCAGTATGGATGACGGATCACCACCTCAAGCTGAACCCTGGCAAGACGGAGCTGCTCTTCCTCCCGGGGAAGGACTGCCCGTTCCATGATCTCGCCATCACGGTTGACAACTCCGTTGTGTCCTCCTCCCAGAGTGCGAAGAGCCTTGGCGTGACCCTGGACAACACCCTGTCGTTCTCCGCTAACATCAAGGCGGTGACCCGATCCTGCAGGTTCATGCTCTACAACATTCGGAGAGTACGACCCTGCCTTACACAGGAAGCGGCACAGGTCCTAATCCAGGCACTTGTCATCTCCCGTCTGGATTACTGCAACTCGCTGTTGGCTGGCCTCCCTGCCTGTGCCATTAAACCCCTACAACTCATCCAGAATGCCGCAGCCCGTCTGGTGTTCAACCTTCCCAAGTTCTCTCACGTCACCCCCCTCCTCCGCACACTCCACTGGCTTCCAGTTGAAGCTCGCATCCGTTACAAGACCATGGTGCTTGCCTATGGAGCAGTGAGGGGAACGGCACCTCCGTACCTTCAGGCTCTGATCAGTCCCTACACCCAAACGAGGGCATTGCGTTCATCCACCTCTGGCCTGCTGGCTCCCCTTCCTCTGCGGAAGCATAGTTCCCGCTCAGCCCAGTCAAAACTGTTCGCTGCTCTGGCACCCCAATGGTGGAACAAGCTCCCTCACGACGCCAGGACAGCGGAGTCACTCACCACCTTCCGGAGACATTTGAAACCCCACCTCTTTAAGGAATACCTGGGATAGGATAAAGTAATCCTTCTACCCCCCCCCAAAAAAATAATAAAATAAAAATATATAGGGTGAATGCACCAATTTGTAAGTCGCTCTGGATAAGAGCGTCTGCTAAATGACGTAAATGTGCCCTTGAGCAAGGCACTTAACCCTAATTGCTCCTGTAAGTCGCTCTGGATAAGAGCGTCTGCTAAATGACTAAAATGTAAAATGTAAATGTAAATCTGTTTAATTTAATTTGTGTCGTCCATGAATTTGTATTTTATAGAGCGAGAGGAGCAGCAGCAGCAACAAGAGAAAAGGGTTGAGGAATTCAAAAGTTTATTCACTGCACGCAAAGGCCCAACCATAACAAGGGAGAGAAAAAGAGAGCTGGATGTAGCATTTTTTGAAATGATTTTCATGGACTATGAACCGCTGAGTAAAGGAGAACGCGAAGGTATGCAACACTTCGCCAGCGCAGCTCAACCGGGCTACACCCCCCCAAGAAAAAAATAAAATAAAAAAAACTATGATAAATCAGTACTTTACTTTGTCAAATTTACATCTGAGATGCCCCATTCACATGCTTCAGCTGGCGATCAAAAACGCCTTTAACGAGCACGACAACATTAATAGGCTGTTAGTGAAAGTCGGGCACCTGGTGAAAAGTGTACGCAAGAGCACAGAGGAAACCGACCAATTAGGTGTCCGCCCCACAAATGCCTGCGCCATTCGATGGAGCAGCCAGCTGCGGATGATTCAGTCGTTCATCCGGTTGTTCCAAAAAGACCCGTTATGGCAAAACAAACTCAAGTCTAATGTTGCTAACATCACCCTGAATCAAGTACGGCAGCTGACGCACCTTGTCAGTGTGCTGACACCACTAGCAGATCTCACAGACAAAATGCAGAAGGAGCTGGGGAACCTGGGGATGATCCTCCCTGCTGTCACAGAAATCAAATCCCTGCTCACCGATTACACTCACGCTGCACTTCCAATGGGCATCGCTGCTTTTGCAGAAACATTGGCAAACAACGTGTCAATTCGCTATGGAATATACTATACTGATTAACATCTCATTTTAGCTTCAGTGTTAGATCCCCGTTTCAAGACAGAATGGATAATCCGAGATGAGTCTGTATGCAACAAATTCGGGGAGATAAAGTAAGGCTGTGGTTTAAGCTAAAAGTGAAATACATGCAGATTTTGTTCCTTTTTTGGAGTGAGCGGGGGGCGATTTGAGTGGAGCGCGATGCAAACTGCGTTGAGCGCTGAGCGATAATGAGCGGACTGGCCTGATGTGGCTTTGAGCGGGGGGAGCGGAGGGGTGAACAGCTCCGTGAGCGAGGAGCTGAGATTCTCACCGCTCCACTCCGCTCATATGCTCTGAAAGGAACTCACCTTTGTGCCTCAGCACGGTCGCAGTGTGCCTCCATCTTGGTTTAGGCAGGTTGCCAGTGCAGCTCATCTTCAAGGAGAGCCTCACTGAGGCCTGGTTGTCAGGTGCAACCGGGTCAGGCAGGTCACAAGGGTCATAGCTCACTCTGAAAAGGGTTCTGATTGGGTGGAGTGGGGAGGAGCTGCCACCAAACACCACAGCTCCCCACCGAGGGACAGATGTTACAGAGTCATACAGTTGGACACCTGGGAGGAGAACAGAACCTGATCAGGAACAACTCCGGGCCCTTTAGCCTATACCTACAGCCAAGAGTTTATCCCAGTGATGTAAAACTCTGAGCCCTAATAGTACCCCAGTCAAATCCATTCAGCTCTCTAGCCCCAGTCAGATCCATTCAGCCCTCTAGCCCCAGTCAGATCCATTCAGCCCTCTTACCCCAGTCAGATCCATTCAGCCCTCTAGCCCCAGTCAGATCCATTCAGCCCTCTAGCCCCAGTCAGATCCATTCAGCCCTCTAGCCCCAGTCAGATCCATTCAGCCCTCTAGCCCCAGTCAGATCCATTCAGCCCTCTTACCCCAGTCAGATCCATTCAGCCCTCTAGCCCCAGTCAGATCCATTCAGCTCTCTAGCCCCAGTCAGATCCATTCAGCCCTCTAGCCCCAGTCAGATCCATTCAGCCCTCTAGCCCCAGTCAGATCCATTCAGCCCTCTTACCCCAGTCAGATCCATTCAGCCCTCTAGCCCCAGTCAAATCCATTCAGCTCTCTAGCCCCAGTCAGATCCATTCAGCCCTCTAGCCCCAGTCAGATCCATTCAGCCCTCTAGCCCCAGTCAAATCCATTCAGCTCTCTAGCCCCAGTCAGATCCATTCAGCCCTCTAGCCCCAGTCAGATCCATTCAGCCCTCTAGCCCCAGTCAGATCCATTCAGCCCTCTAGCCCCAGTCAGATCCATTCAGCCCTCTAGCCCCAGTCAGATCCATTCAGCCCTCTAGCCCCAGTCAGATCCATTCAGCCCTCTAGCCCCAGTCAGATCCATTCAGCCCTCTAGCCCCAGTCAGATCCATTCAGCCCTCTAGCCCCAGTCAGATCCATTCAGCCCTCTATCCCCAGTCAGATCCATTCAGCCCTCTTACCCCAGTCAGATCCATTCAGCCCTCTAGCCCCAGTCAAATCCATTCAGCCCTCTAGCCCCAGTCAGATCCATTCAGCCCTCTAGCCCCAGTCAGATCCATTCAGCCCTCTAGCCCCAGTCAGATCCATTCAGCCCTCTAGCCCCAGTCAAATCCATTCAGCTCTCTAGCCCCAGTCAGATCCATTCAGCCCTCTAGCCCCAGTCAGATCCATTCAGCCCTCTTACCCCAGTCAGATCCATTCAGCCCTCTAGCCCCAGTCAAATCCATTCAGCTCTCTAGCCCCAGTCAGATCCATTCAGCCCTCTAGCCCCAGTCAGATCCATTCAGCCCTCTAGCCCCAGTCAAATCCATTCAGCTCTCTAGCCCCAGTCAGATCCATTCAGCCCTCTAGCCCCAGTCAGATCCATTCAGCCCTCTAGCCCCAGTCAGATCCATTCAGCCCTCTAGCCCCAGTCAGATCCATTCAGCCCTCTAGCCCCAGTCAGATCCATTCAGCCCTCTAGCCCCAGTCAGATCCATTCAGCCCTCTAGCCCCAGTCAGATCCATTCAGCCCTCTAGCCCCAGTCAGATCCATTCAGCCCTCTAGCCCCAGTCAGATCCATTTACCCTCTAGCCCCAGTCAGATCCATTCAGCCCTCTAGCCCCAGTCAGATCCATTCAGCCCTCTAGCCCCAGTCTATGGATGACTCCACACAAACACATCTCCAGCCACCATTGGCTCTGATGAGGACCCTGGCTGCAGCCTGTCTACCCCCTCTGCCTGAACCCCCACTGAGCAGCACCAGCCCAGGACCCAGGAGGGTAGAGGCCATCCCAAGACCCTCCACACACAGCTCCCCAGGCATGGGCGTCACCACTAGGGAGAGAGGACTCAGCGCCGACCTCGGGGGAGGGATAGGAGACACTATGGGGGGTAGATACAGGGGAGGACACGTCAGACATCCAGTATTCTCTGTGATGATACTGGCATTAGTGTTGAATAAAATGAAAAGGCAGAATGGAGAATAAATGGTTGAAGTTTACTTTAGGTGGCACTAAAATATCTGTATTAAATAGATACTTTATTGTAATGTCAAACAGCAGCAGAGAAAAGACACAAATACTATACAAGACAAAAACATGGTAATTCCATAGGTAGGTACTGTACATTGTAACTACAGTGTGGTGAGTAACCACATACCTGTTGGAGGGCTGAGCAGAGCCTGGCTGCTCAGGGAGACTTTGGAGGCAGTGGAGATGAAGTAGTGAGAGCACTTCTAGTTCCACTCCTGAAATGAAGACAAAAAGAGACATGGAAAATACGATCCAAATACTTTTTATATGACAGTTTCCTATACTGTGTATCTCTCTGATGAGTTGAGACAGAAGTACATCTGGATGGTTGTTGGACAAGCTATTGACTGGGTAGTCAGGACCGATTAGATTAGAGTAACTCACCTCAAACTCATCAAATGGTTCCAGGCTCTCAACTCTACATATTGCCTTCTCTGGAACCAGACCCAGGTAAAACTCATTAATATATCAGACACACACACTGCTCCCAGCCCTGGAGATAGAACAGAGCACACACGCACACACACACTTAATAACACTTGAAACAGTAACTTTCAGAAAGAGAGAACCAGTCAGCCATACGTGCCATGGGTTGTTACAAATAACGGCAGCCTTGCACCGGGCAACATCTGGGAAGTCCAGCTCAAACTCCACCACCCCCTCCCATCTCCCCTCTGCGCGCAGACGGAAATACAGGGAGTCAAACCCCGCTCCCAGAGACCACACCTGGAGACAGAGTTTGTGTTATGTTTGGCATGCCAATGACCATAGGATTTGGCAAAACAGCAAAAACAGACCTTGGAGCAGGCTAACCTTACCTGTCTCCTGGGGCAGCTTTCTGTCACCTGCAGAAACTGCTTGACACAGTGGTCTACAGCTCTCCAACGTACATAGTAACCCCATAGTAACCCCTGCACCAGACATACAGTAGAAACACAAACACATAAACAAATATATAGAGGCAGGTCATTCTAACTATACAAATCTATTGAGAGTGTGTGTGTGCACATGTTATGTTTCTATCTTACCGACCTGTTGATGAGAGGGGCTCTCCTAGACCCCTTACTTCCAACCAGGAAGTAACCCTGAGCTACAGCAGACACCTTACTGAGCACACCGCTGTCATTGGTCCCCTGCAGCTGACACAGCAACAACACAACACAATACTGTCACAACAGTAATAATGACATGTAGCTAGTAGCCACAAACTCACAGTGTCCACATTACAGACAGACTAATGAACAGAAAGGGCACTTGCATAACAACAGTTCTTACATGGCTATATCATTGATATTATTGCAATACTATTATTGCTACAGTAATATTATTGCAGTTACTGCATTAGATGTAAAGTCAAATAGCAGAACATACCGCAGCATCTCTCCCCTGATTTTGCTTTTTTTTGTTGGTTACTCGCATTATCAGAACAGCTGTCAATGAATTAGCTAACCTTATTCGTTTATTCATTGACACATGTGCAGTTCTTCTCTCATCAATGTTATTGGAAGAGAGGAGCACCTATTGATTATTTAACTTACGTCACCTGAAATTAAATAAATAAGTTGATGGCTTCAGGAGCTAGCCTCATGGTTTATACAGATAAATAGATGGAAGTGTATCAAACATGTTCCTGTATTTTCATTGCGCAGCCTTGTCACGTGACGCCAGAGCTAGAACAATGATGGTTAGTTATACAAATCTTTGGTGACGCTTAGGTTCTCTCGGGCTGAAAAGAGTACAGTTATGTTGATCAAACCTCTACTGCGCCTTCCTGTGGTACGGAGGGAAATGTGCCTTCTTTGTGCAATGTCAGATCAGATACAGTACTTCTATGTAGGGCATTATAACCTCTGGCAAAACACTAAATAAAGTTTTTGATAAATTAACTGTGACCTTACCTATCTATGACATGTTGACATAAGAGAAAGGTAATGTATTGTGCTGTGCTTTTTTGCCAACCATAAAATCTGATCATAGACTGTGAACAATTTGGATGAATCCAAAAATGACATCATCCCATTGTTTCCTATGAGAATGCTCAGTGGAGCATTTGAAGATCAGGAAGTGTATTTTCAGCGTGTCACCATCTTGCTACATGGAGGAGTTTTTGGAAACATTGCATGTGCAATTTGATATACTCTAGGAAGTGATGTCGCAGGCTAGCTGTCACGATCGTCTACCAATGAGGAGGACCAAGGCGCAGCGTTGAATGCGAGCATTTTATTTTATCAAGATGATCACACGATCAAAATAACAAAAACGAAACGTGACGTCCCTGGTTACATAAACCAACAAACACGGAACAAGAAACCACAACACAAAGTGAAAAGACCGATAGTTAAATATGGCTCCCAATCAGAGACAACCAGCTGACACTCGTTGCCTCTGATTGGGAGTCACTCAGGCAAACATAGATATACAAACATAGACTTACATACCCTGGCTCAACATAACATAGTCCCCAGAGCTAGGGCGTGACAGTACCCCCCCCCAAAGGCGCGGACTCCGACCGCGCCAAACAACCACAACAGGGGAGGGACCGGGTGGGCACTCCGCCTCGGCGGCGGATCCGGCTCCGGACATGACCCAGGCACGGGTTGTGCTGGACTGACGACGCGCACCCCTGGCTTGGTGCGTGGAGGAGGAACGGGCCTTACCAGGCTGACGACACACACCGTAGGCTTGGTGCGTGGAGCAGGGACAGGCCGGACTGGGCTGACGAAGCACACCACTGACTTGGTGCGGGGAGCAGGAACGGGCCGGACCGGGCTGACGAAGCGCACCCCTGACTTGGTGCGGGGAGCTTGGATTGGCCGGACTGGGCTGGTGACGCGCACCACAGACTTGGTGCGGAGAGCAGGAACGGGCCGGACAGGGCTGACGAAACGCACCACAGACTTGGTGCGGAGAGCAGGCACGGGCCGTGCCGGACTGACGACGCACACCACTGGCTTGGTGCGGGAAGCTTGGATGGGCCGGACTGGGCTGGCGACGCGCACCACAGACTTGGTGCGGAGAGCAGGAACGGGCCGGGCTGGGCTGTCGACGCACACCGTAGGCTTGGTGCGTGGAGTAGGAACGGGCCGAACCGGGCTGACGATGCGCACCCCTGACTTGGTGCGGGGAGCAGGAATAGACCGGACCGTACTGGGGACACACACCACTGGCCCTACACCGGGATCTGGAACGGGCCGGACCGGACTGGCAACACACGCCAGTGCCTCTCGCCGTGCCTCTACATCCTCCATCCCCTCTTCGACCAGTGGCCCCCTTAACCTGGCGGCCTCCTCTGGCAACCCACTGGGCCGCTCTATCGCGGCCTCCTGCTGGTCCGACGTCGTGAGCCCCCCCCTAAAAAATTTCTGGGAGTCTCTCTTCCCCGTGGGCCAGGCCTCGATAATTCTCGCCCACCTCTCGCTCCTCTGCTTCCAATCTCCGTCATTCAGCTCCTCATTCGGCTTGACCCAGTCGAAGCTCTGCCTCCACTGTTGCCAAGTCCACCTACTCTGCTCCTCACTAGGCTGCTTGGTCCAGTTCTGGTGGTTTCTTCTGTCACGATCGTCTACGAGAGAGGACCAATGCGCAGCGTTGAAGGTGAACATAATATATATTTATTAACTGATCACACGATCAAAACAATAACCAACGATGCGTGACGTCTAAGGTTACAACACGAACAAACCTTAACGGAACAAGAAACCACAACACAAAGTGAAAAGACCGATAGTTAAATATGGCTCCCAATCAGAGACAACCAGCTGACACTCGTTGCCTCTGATTGGGAGTCACTCAGGCAAACATAGATATACAAACATAGACTTACATACCCTGGCTCAACATAACATAGTCCCCAGAGCCAGGGCGTGACACTAGCTCAGTGCTGCCTGTAGAAAGGCAGAGGGCTCTGCTTTATGACCAATAACAAGTGGTGCGATGGGGGAAAATACAGGAACTTGCGAGCTTCTGCTCTCCCGACTTGGAATACTTGGTCATCAAATGTTGCCCTTTTTTACCTTCAGAGAGAGTTCTCAGGGACTATTGCCACGGCTGTGTACATCCCATCCAAAGCCAACACCAAAAATGCTCTCAAAGATTGGACCCTGAACAAACTGGAGACCGCGTACCTGGAGGCAGCATTCATTGTCGCGGGGGACTTTAACCAGCCCTGGGACTGAACTCCTCCCTATGCAACTGGGTCCTGGACTTCCTGATGGGCCGCCCCCAGGTGGTGAAGGTAGGCAACAACACCTCCTCCACAATGATCCTCAACATGGGGGCCCCACAAGGGTGCTTCCTCAGTCCCCTCCTGTACTCCTTGTATACCCACGACTGCATGGCTTCACACTATTTCAACTCCATCATCAAGTTTGCTGAAGAAACGACAGTAGTAGTCCTGATTACCAACAACAGGGAGCAGGTAGGAACTCTGATGTTGTGGTGCCAGGTAAACAACCTCTCCCACAATGTCAGCAAAGCAAAGGAGCTGATTGTGGACTTCAGGAGGTACTAGGCTGGGAACGTCCCCATCCTCATCAATGGGGCCGCCGTGGAGACGGTCAAAAACGTCAAGTTCCTTGGTGTACACATCTCCGAGGAGCTGAAATGGTCAAAGGAGGCACGACAGCGACTCTTTAACCTCAGGTGGCTAAAAAAATTTGGCCTGTCCCCGAGTGCCCTCACAGTGTTCTACAGGAGGACCTTCGAGAACATACTGTCGGGCTGCATCACAGCCTGGTACGGCAACTCCACCGCCGCTGAATGCAAGGCACTACAGAGGGTGGTACGCTCAGCCAAACGCACCATTGGGTGCACACTGCCTGCCCTCCAGGACCCCTACAACACCAGGTGTCGCAAGAAGGCCAAGAAGATCATCAGGGACCTGAGCCACTGCCTGTCCTGAGCCACTGCCTGTTCTCCCCACTTCCATCACTCAGACACAGGCAGTACAGGAGCATCATGGCTCCCCACAGCCCCCATGCCACCTTTACCTGATGACAGCTGCATCTTTGGCATCTCTCAACCAGCTCACGGAATGCTTTCCAACAGTCTGAGGATCCCACTAGCTTTCCTAATTGCGTCGAATCTCCCAAACCATCACAATGTGAGTCGGGTGTGGCCAGGTATATCAGCACCACACTCTCTTTGGAAATCCTTAACGCCTGAGTTGTGGTCATGCCTGTGAAAAGATATGTCCACTACCTAAGCAGATGGTGGTGTACGCTGCACGAATGCTTGTCCACAGCTGGTAAGTTGCCTTGAATTCTAATAATCACAGACGGTCACCAGCAAGCACCCCACACCATACCACTCCTCCATGGTTTAGTTCTGGGAATAATGGGCAGGATCATCCATGCACACGCCATCACGTCTCCTGTACAATGCGTTAACCAAAAATCTCGAGATTTTGGTCCATTGTCCTTAAAACACATTGTCCACCATCTAAGTCCAAGCATGGGTGTTTCGTGGCCAGAAGCTGTGGTCCAGCTTAAGGTGGAAATAAACATCCGCAGACACTCTCCTCATGCTACGGTGGGAAATAAAATGCGAGATCATCGTTCACCCACACCGCGTCTCACAAAGACACGGCGGTTTGAACCAAAAATCTCAAATTTGGACTCCAGACCAAAGGACACATTTCACCGATCGAATGTTCATTGCTGTGTTTCTTGGCCCAAGCAAGTCTCTTCTTTTATTGGTGTCCTTTAGTAGTGGGTTCTTGCAAGCAATTCGACCATTGAAGGCCTAATTTCACACAGGTCTCCTTCATGAAACAGTTGATATTGAGATGTGTCTGTTTTCCGGATTGACGGACCTTCATGTCTTAAAGTAATGATGGGCTGTTGTTTCTCTTTGCTTATTTGAGCTGTTCTTGCCATAATATGGACTTGGTCTTTTACCAAATAGGGCTATCTTCTGTATACCCCCTCTACCTTGTAACAACGCAACTGATTGGCTCAAACGCATTAAGAAGGAAAGAAATTCCACAAATTAACTTTTAAGAAGGCACACCTGTTAATTGAAATGCATTCCAGGTGACTACCTCATGAAGCTGGTTGAGAGAATGCCAAGAGTGTGCAAAGCTGTCATCAAGGCAAAGGGTGGCTATTTGAAGAATCTCAAATATAAAATATATTTTCATTTGTTTAATACTTTTTTGGTTACTACATGATTTCCATATGTGTTATTTAATAGTTTTGATGTCTTCACTATTATTCTACAATGTATATAATAGTAAAAATAAAGAAAAACCCTTGAATGAGTAGGTGTTCTAAAACTTTTGACTGGTAGTGTACATCTGGTGAAATATAAGTAATTATTTGTACCATGATTGTGTTCGATTTGTTTTTATAGACAGATATCCACGAATATTGACCACGAAGATCGCCATTTCCCCATTTACTATAATTTCCCCATTTACTATAATGGGGCATCATGTTTTCTGGAAACAATGGCTGCAGTACCGCGGTCGGCCTTCAATTTGAAATCCTCAATGCGAGGGGCAGTCGTTCTCCGCTGCGTCTGATTAAAGGTAGGTAAGCCAAGTCGAAGTCCATTCTCTACATTTGTACACCTCATATATTTTAGAATAGTCAGTGGTCCTCATTTAGCTTTGAATTATTTTGTTGTTTTTAAACAATTCCATAATAGGCACAATAGACCATTCAGATACAGAGACATCAAAGTACAACCCAACCTCTGTTTATTAGCTGTTCTGTTCTGATACGGTTGTGAAGAAACATTTTAAAGACAAATATTTTTCTTAATGAAAGACAGTCTGTTTTGAGACTGCGGACCGTTGCACCTGACGTGACCTAAAACGTGGAGGAATGTGGTTATCTATCCGTTTAAGAAAATCGAGAATGCGACACTGACTGCGACTGCGCGAATTTGCAGGAAGTGTTAATAGTCGTTTCACCAGCTGATAAATTGTCAACAGTCTCAAGACGGGGACCTCTGATCGTTTCAGAGACAGCGCCGACATTGTCACTGGTATGTATTCATGTTTTTATGCTCCCCGAGTGTATATATGGGATGTGGAGGTGCAAGAATGAAAGTGAGACGGCTGTCGAACCAGAGCTGGGGCCGATTTGGCTTATCCGCAGCAAAGTGACTGGGCTTCAACGGAGTCTATTCTATACGGAGATACACCAGTTTACAGATACAACTGACGATACCTGCATAGCGCCCATTTTAATATTCATACCCCGATGTAAAATAAAATATACAGCTAAATGCGTAGCAGATGATGAAAAACAATGGCATACGAGGTTTGAGCTCTGGTGGTGATGAAAGTGAAAACACTGTGCGTGCTGTCACTCAACTGAAATGGCAATAGCTCGCTGCCTCGAGAAATTCCAGAGGTTTGGATGTATGTGACAGTGGGGAGTGGGACATCAACACGCCGTTGTTGGTGCGCGCGACTGACATTACCATTCTGTGCTATCAAATGGACCTTGAACGGCAGAAGCCTCCCCATGTTTTGACCTCTCAATGACCCCTATGGCGGTTCATGTATATCACTATAATAAATATTTACATAGCACAATTCCATAGGCTGGTGCCAAGAAGGCGTCACACAATGAAATATGGCTGTCATGCTCAAACATTACATTTACATTTACATTTTAGTCATTTAGCAGACGCTCTTATCCAGAGCGACTTACAGTTAGTGAATACATATTTTTTTTATACTGGCCCCCCGTGGGAATTGAACCCACAACCCTGGCGTTGCAAACGCCATGCTCTATCAACTGAGCTACATCCTCCCTGTATGTGTTTTGTCAGCCATCCTAGATTTGTATGGATGGGCATTATTGTAGATCATGTAATAATCATGTCATAAATAGATCATGATATTAATGGTTATCTGACCTGATGAAAAAATAAATGACCCACCTGTCCAGACTGAATGGCACCTGTTGTCATTTGAGCCAGTCTTTCCATTTTCCATTACCAGCATTGTCCACCATAACAGTTCCCTCTGTTCTGTTGTCATATCTATTCCACGTCAAGTAACTCATGCAAACAGTAAAATCAGATTAAAAAACAAAACAAATAAAACTGCACCTTATGGAACAATGCAGACTTTGAGTACACACACAGGCAAGCACACACACACATATGTATGGTGGTATTGTAAATGTTGAATTTTAGATATTTTGTGGTGTAATAATGTTTTTGCCTTAATTTGTTGGCAGCAGCTAATGGGGATCTTTAATAAATACAAATACAAAATCTTCTCTCATCTGCAGAGAGAAAAAGAGGAGAGGTAGAGAAAGAATTCACATCCCAGAGTCCCCTGTAGTCTGAGCTCCCATCACTGGGAGGCCCCGCCCTCCTCACCTCTGTCACCATGGCTACCAGAGGGAGTGGCCGGCCCAATTGCACGCTGCCCCAGACAAAGATATGCCAGTTTAAACTGGTGTTGCTGGGAGACATGGCTGTGGGCAAGTCCAGCCTGGTGCTGCGCTTCGTCAAGGGACAGTTTGATGAGTTCCAGGAGACCACCATCGGAGGTGAGGAGAGAGGGGAGGGGGAGGAGAGGGAGAAGTTGACTGGCACACTGTTGGCCCCAGATCAGGGTTGGGCAACTCTCTGTTCCTGGAGTGCCGCAACAAAAGTTTCTGTTAAAAACACTGTGAGAAATGTATTCCTGGACCAAGAATGGAGGGTTTGCTGAGATGAAAGGACTGAGTTGTACATCATTAGTTTTACATTCTCTGTCTCTCTCTCTCTCTCAGCTGCATTCCTGGCCCAGTCTGTGTGTCTAGATGACACCACTGTGAAGTTTGAGATCTGGGACACGGCGGGACAGGAGCGCTACCACAGTCTGGCTCCCATGTACTACCGCGGGGCACAGGCAGCTATTGTGGTCTTTGACATCACCAAGCCGGTACAGTCATCATTCAGCGCACCACAGAGATGCATGCTCAGAGCTAACTTGAGGAGTAAACAATCAATGTATTGGGCGATTCCATGCCAACGGGAACAGAAAATAGTGTTGGTATTTCAGATTGTTCTGGCAATTCTCACATAGGAACTTTCATAGCTTTCACCTGGATTCACCTGGTCAGTCTGTGTCATGAAAAGATCAGGTGTTCTTAATGTTTTGTATGCTCAGTGTATACATGCCTCCTGTAAGACCCTATGATCTGTGAACCGTACATAATACAGACAACATCTTGGTGTCATTATACTCCTTATAGTGTTCTCTCAAATATGGAGTATGTCAAGATTCTGAAAAAAAAATGTTCACATTCATTTATTCAACATGACAAATATTAATATCTCAAAACTACCTTTTTTGATTTTGTTTATTTTTGGACACATTGTTTGTAACAGTATACTCTTCAAACACGCCACATTTCCAGAGTGGGCTCTCTGGGACTTTTAATGATATGACCCATTTATACATAGAAATTGACATTATAGGTCATTAACCAATCACAGCCCTGCTTTAGGATTGCACATTCAGCAAATCACCAGTAGTGGGAGTTCCCTTTGAATCCCTTTACCACTCACTATGTTGGTGGTGCTCATAAAATCTATCATACCTTCAGAATTAGCAGAGAGCCCACTCTGAAATGTGATGTACTTATAGAGGTTATTGGTCCAAACAATATGTCTTAAAATGAACAAAATCAAAAAGGGTAGTTTTGAGATAAATATTTTTAATGTTGAATAAATTAATGTGAAAAATTATATTTCAGAATCAAGACATACTCCAAATTTTAGAGCAAACTATAAGGAGTATAATTATTTGATTTATTTAACCTTTATTTAACTAGGCAAGTGACAGCCTACCAAGAGGCAAAATGCCTCCTGTGGGAACGGGGGCTGGGATTCAAAATAAAAATGTAGGACAAAACACACATCACGAAAATAGACACCACAACACTACATAAAGAGAGACACCACAACACTACATAAAGAGAGACACCACAACACTACATAAAGAGAGACAACAACACTACATAAAGAGAGACACCACAACACTACATAGAGACACCACAACACTACATAAAGAGAGACGCCACAACACTACATAAAGAGAGACGCCACAACACTACATAAAGAGAGACACCACCACACTACATAAAGAGAGACACCACAACACTACATAAAGAGAGACACCACAACACTACATAAAGAGAGACACCACAACACTACATAAAGAGAGACACCACAACACTACATAAAGAGAGACGCCACAACACTACATAAAGAGAGACACCACAACACTACATAAAGAGAGACACCACAACACTACATAAAGAGAGACACCACAACACTACATAAAGAGAGACACCACAACACTACATAAAGAGAGACACCACAACACTACATAAAGAGAGACACCACAACACTACATAAAGAGAGACACCACAACACTACATAAAGAGAGACACCACAACACTACATAAAGAGAGACACCACAACACTACATAAAGAGAGACACCACAACACTACATAAAGAGAGACACCACAACACTACATAAAGAGAGACACCACAACACTACATAAAGAGAGACACTACATAAAGAGAGACACCACAACACTACATAGAGATGCCACAACACTACATAAAGAGAGACGCCACAACACTACATAAAGAGAGACCCCACAACACTACATAAAGAGAGACGCCACAACACTACATAAAGAGAGACGCCACAACACTACATAAAGGGAGACACCACAACACTACATAAAGAGAGACACCACAACACTACATAAAGAGAGACACCACAACACTACATAAAGAGAGACACCACAACACTACATACAGTGGGGGAAAAAGTATTTAGTCAGCCACCAATTGTGCAAGTTCTCCCACTTAAAAAGATGAGAGAGTCCTGTAATTTTCATCATAGGTACACGTCAACTATGACAGACAAATTGAGAAGAAAAAAATCCAGAAAATCACATTGTAGGATTTTTTATGAATTTATTTGCAAATGATGGTGGAAAATAAGTATTTGGTCACCTACAAACAAGCAAGATTTCTGGCTCTCACAGACCTGTAACTTCTTCTTTAAGAGGCTCCTCTGTCCTCCACTCGTTACCTGTATTAATGGCACCTGTTTGAACTTGTTATCAGTATAAAAGACACCTGTCCACAACCTCAAACAGTCACACTCCAAACTCCACTATGGCCAAGACCAAAGAGCTGTCAAAGGACACAAGAAACAAAATTGTAGACCTGCCACCAGGCTGGGAAGACTGAATCTGCAATAGGTAAGCAGCTTGGTTTGAATAAATCAACTGTGGGAGCAATTATTAGGAAATGGAAGACATACAAGACCACTGATAATCTCCCTCGATCTGGGGCTCCACGCAAGATCTCACCCCGTGGGGTCAAAATGATCACAAGAACGGTGAGCAAAAATCCCAGAACCACACGGGGGGACCTAGTGAATGACCTGCAGAGAGCTGGGACCAAAGTAACAAAGCCTACCATCAGTAACACACTACGCCGCCAGGGACTCAAATCCTGCAGTGCCAGATGTGTCCCCCTGCTTAAGCCAGTACATGTCCAGGCCCGTCTGAAGTTTGCTAGAGTGCATTTGGATGATCCAGAAGAGGATTGGGAGAATGTCATATGGTCAGATGAAACCAAAATAGAACTTTTTGGTAAAAACTCAACTCGTCGTGTTTGGAGGACAAAGAATGCTGAGTTGCATCCAAAGAACACCATACCTACTGTGAAGCATGGGGTGGAAACATCATGCTTTGGGGCTGTTTTTCTGCAAAGGGACCAGGACGACTGATCCGTGTAAAGGAAAGAATGAATGGGGCCATGTATCGTGAGATTTTGAGTGAAAACCTCCTTCCATCAGCAAGGGCATTGAAGATGAAACGTGGCTGGGTCTTTCAGCATGACAATGATCCCACACCGCCCGGGCAATGAAGGAGTGGCTTCGTAAGAAGCATTTCAAGGTCCTGGAGTGGCCTAGCCAGTCTCCAGATCTCAACCCCATAGAAAATCTTTGGAGGGAGTTGAAAGTCCGTGTTGCCCAGCGACAGCCCCAAAACATCACTGCTCTAGAGGAGATCTGCATGGAGGAATGGGCCAAAATACCAGCAACAGTGTGTGAAAACCTTGTGAAGACTTACAGAAAACGTTTGACCTGTGTCATTGCCAACAAAGGGTACATAACAAAGTATTGAGAAACTTTTGTTATTGACCAAATACTTATTTTCCACCATAATTTGCAAATAAATTCATTAAAAATCCTACAATGTGATTTTCTGGATTTTTTTTCTCATTTTGTCTGTCATAGTTGACGTGTACCTATGATGAAAATTACAGGCCTCTCTCATCTTTTTAAGTGGGAGAACTTGCACAATTGGTGGCTGACTAAATACTTTTTTTCCCCACTGTAAAGAGAGACGCCACAACACTACATAGAGACGCCACAACACTACATAAAGAGAGACGCCACAACACTACATAAAGAGAGACACCACAACACTACATAAAGAGAGACGCCACAACACTACATAAAGAGAGACCTATGACAGCAACACAACACAGTAGCAACATGACAACAACAGATGGTAGCAACACAACATGGCAGCAGCGCATGGCAGCAGTGCGTAATTTACATTTACATTTTTAGTCATTTAGCAGACGCTCTTATCCAGAGCGACTTACATGAGCAATTAGGGTTAAGTGCCTTGCTCAAGGGCACATCGACAGATTTTTCACCTAGTTGGCTCGGGGATTAGAACCAGCAACCTTTCGGTTACTGGTACAACGCTCTTAATCACTATGCTACCTGCCGCCCCATGACACCAAGCTGTTGTCTGTATTATGTAAGGTTCACAGATCATAGGGTCTTACAGGAAGCATGTATAGGTTTAAAAAGGGCCTAAAATGGCCACTTCCATCATTATTTTCTCCAAAATGGTTTGTGATACAAATGTAAAAAGCATTTCATAGACCCTTCTTTCCTTCTATGTGAGAATTGCCAGATCAATCTGAGATACCAATCATTTCTGCTTGCATGGAATCGCCCCATTGTACTCTAGCCCCCTCTATCATGTGAACATTGCCATGTTATTTAAATGTTGTACTGTATCTGACTCCTCCTCTTTCTCACCTCCTCGCCCCTCTCTGTCCCTCTCCTATGGCCTCTGCTCTCTGTCCCTCTCCTATGGCCTCTGCTCTCTGTCCCTCTCCTATGGCCTCTGCTCTCTGTCCCTCTCCTATGGCCTCTGCTCTCTGTCCCTCTCCTATGGCCTCTGCTCTCTGTCCCTCTCCTATGGCCTCTGCTCTCTGTCCCTCTCCTATGGCCTCCTGTAGGAGACATTTGAGCGAGCCAAAGCCTGGGTGAAGGAGCTACAGAGGCAGGCTAGCCCCAACATTGTCATCGCTCTGGCAGGGAACAAGGCTGACCTGGCTGAGAAGAGACTAGTGGAGTATGAGGTAAAGTACTCAACACTGACTCTGTAACATGTTCTGGCCGTCACTATACACTGACATAATGTTATATCAAATATAACATTTTAAACACTGGGGATTCCCAATACTGATGGATGGTTGCCTCCTGTCTGTGACAGGAGGCCCAGACCTATTCTGAAGACACTGGGCTTCTCTTCATGGAGACCTCTGCCAAGACCGCCATGAATGTCAACGAACTGTTCCTGGCCATTGGTAAGCTTCCATCGTCCCCCATCAATCTATAGGGCTACTTATAGGGATCACAATTTTTGTTAATTTCAATTGTTGGCCTAATAACAAAACATTTAAGTTTTTCATGACCACATGACCTGCCCAAGAAAAACTCCAAGGCCCTAGTTAGAACTAGGTCAGAATAATAATAACATAACAAAGATGATTATTGACCTCTAACAAAGTGTGTTCCACTGTCTCTGCAGCCAAAAAGATGCCAAAAACCGACACCCAGAACCCTACACACGCAGCACGACACCGGGGCGTGAACCTACAGGACCCTGACGCCCACAACACCCGGTCTTGCTGTGGAGGAGGAGGGAACTAGGACCGCTCCACCTCCACCCTGCCCCCAACCTCTGGGGTCGGGCAGGGGGACACCCCCTTCAAACCTCCACCCTCAGAGAGAGAGGGAGAGAGTGTTGTCTTTTGCGAAGCCAGACAGCCATTTCTGAGACAGAGAGAGGTCTGACAGACAGGAAGAGAAAAAAAGAGTGTATGTTGTTTTGCGTTCTGTCTGTCTCGATTCATTTTAATCATGGTTCCATTTCATTATGCAATCGCTGCAGTGTCAGTTCTTGAGTGGCAGAGAGGGAAGAAAGGAGAGATGGAGCGAGGGAGTCAAAGGGATGAGGGGAAAAAAAGAGTGAATGGGATGCAGGTCACACTCCCTCCTTAAAGTATTCTTATTACTGCTGTCCTGAATGCCCCCTCATCACCCCCTCTAGCATGAGCCCCAGGCAGCCTGAACAACCTTAACCCAACCCTGAAGCCTTGGCATGGCCTGAGCCATTCCAGACACTCCCCAGTCGCCACAGATAGAATAACCCATGTTAGATGGCACAGATTACCCACAATCGCATGAGAGGGAGGGAAAACACGGTTCATGGCCTCTTCTGATGCCCTTATTTCCTCTGGCATCCTTATTTATTTTCCCCTAGGCTATATTATTATTATTATTATTATTATTATTACTTCTTAGAGCAGCTGTGTTGTGAGACATCATGCTGCCAATGCCAGTCTGGTATCATCCAGGCCCCTCCTCCATCTCACTTCCACCCACAGATGTACAGTAGATATACACTGAAGAACCTAGAGTACAGTATTTATTTACTGTTGGGACTGAGTGAGTCTGCTCTATGCCATGTCTCAGTCTGGCTAGGCCCTTGCTGGAAATTACAGCTGTTTCTAACAATCAATCCACTGTCTAGTGCAGAGTTTCCCAAACTCGGTCCTGGTCTAGTGCACAATGGTGATATCCAGGGCTGCAGTTTCTCCTGGTCAGTTCACATGATCAGGAGAAAATCCTTGCCTCTCCTAGTGATACCTTATAGTAGGTATTGATCTCAAAACCCTAGCCTGGTCCCAGATCTGTTTGTACTGTCTTGCCAACTCCCTATGGTCGTCAATGATCGTAGAGTTGGCAAGACAGTACAAGCAGATCTGGGACCAGGCTACTCAAACCCCTCTAGACCTGCAGTCCTGTAGGTAGGACACCATTGTATCTGGCCTGACATGTTGTGAATGCATGGGACATGATATACATGCTATGTTCTGCTGTTCCTCATTTGTCCTGTGTCTTACTGCTTAAGATTTGATGTAAATGAAAACAATGTAATAACGCTTTTAATGACTGACTAACGAGCTGATGCTGTTCAAAGCACTGGTGTTGAAAGAGACAGAGCTTTGGTGACAGAGCTACCCACTGTTGATGGATTCCAAATTGACCCATAACCCCTTGAAAGTCCATATAGATCTGAAGGGATTAGATAAGGCATTATGATAGTTGCTTCACCTTGTCTACTGATAGACTGGGTGGATTTATTTTTGACATATTGCTTCTAACTCTCCATTTGTTTTAGATCTACAGGAGGTAGGGAGGGGATAGGGAGGGATCCATTTGGAATTGCGATTGTGTGTCCAAGGTTTAGCTAAGAAGAATAAGGGTGCTTACAAGGGGTTTGAAAAACAAAAAAAGAAGTGCCTACTCCGTTTTTCCCCCCTGTATTCTTTGTTTTGGGTTTGCTTTGGGGTGTGTTCAATAGGCAGAAGTCAAAAGTAAAGCATATCCCTGTAACCATTAACCAATAACTGACTGCATACTGTCTGCCATTCTGCTCTTTGTACGGTTGTGAGGAGCTCTTTCGTCAAATACACAATGTATTTTCACCGAATTTTATTGAAGCTGTTTTGTTTGTTGTTGATTTTACTGACTGGAGTACCTATGTCATTATCCTGGAATGAATCGCTAACTAACGACCCGAATCGATGTGATGAGCTCTACTTAATTTTAAAACAAAATTGTTTAATGGACTGTCATCGTGATGATTAACTGATAAATCCATGAGTCACTTATTCATGAACTCTTCTATGATCACAGGTTAGTTCAGTGTTATGTGTAATAATAATGAAGTCCACACAACGTGAGGAAAATACTCAAACTCCCACTCTGTAAAGTGTTGTTCAATAAAGCTGTGCTATTGCGCAATGTGTGCAGTCAGTGAACATGATGGTTTAGTCCAGTGGTGCCACTTGTATCTCCTGTTATGGCTTGAAATAATTGTTTTATTTTGGGGGGTTGCAAGAACATTTTAAATGCTTTAAGGGGTCTGCTAAAAAGTTAAGGAACCGCTGGTTTAGGCCAGGGTTTCCCAAACTCGGTCCCCCCCCCCCATTCAAATAACCAACTCATTATCAAGCTTTGATTATTTTAATCAGCTGCGTAGTGCTAGGGCAAAAACCAAAACGTGCAACCAGGGAGGGCCCCAGGACAGAGTTTGGGAAACCCTGTCCATGGACCCTCTTATCTCTGCATTTGTACAGAAGAGTAATCTCTCATGGACAGATTAAACGGCGACCAGGAAATGACAAACTTTTGTGAGATTTTACTTCTGGGTAACCGAGAAACAGAAGAGTAAAGTCTCCTGTAGCTCAGTTGGTAGAGCATGGCGCTTGCAACGCCAGGGTTGTGGGTTCGTTTCCCACGGGGGGCCAGTATGAAAATGTAAGTCGCTCTGGATAAGAGCGTCTGCTAAAATGACCAAAATGTAAAGTAAAGATGTCATTCAAGGTTAATGTTCAAAATTGGTTTATGACTATTTGGTGTACAAACATATTCATGTTCTTTACAACATCCTTTTCTTGTTTCCAACACAGCACTTTTGCAGTTGACCCACACTAGAAAACTGAGGAAACAGTGTGACTCATCTGAAATCCAACTAGTTTTTTTAAAATCAATTTTCTTTATAATTTAAAAAAAGGAACTGAACAGACTTAAAAAATACATTTCCACTCTCCCTTTCCTAAAAAAAACATCTCTGTTGGTTTGCATTGAAGAAGGACAATAGGTTTGCATTGACGGACAATATCAATATAAAAATTAGATCATAAGAATCTTCTATTTGACAACAGTTCCCACTGACTCCCCCTAAAACCTGGGTCAAGTTCTAGCCCTAGTCCTCACTCTCGTCATCGTCCACTGCAGTGTAGATGACCTGGTTCCTGCGTTTGATCATGGGGGTGCTGCCTGTACTGATGGGGTCCCCTGTCTCCCCACTGGTGCGCTTGGGGATCCGGACATGGGGCTCCTCCCCTTCCACTTCCGGGGGTGAGGAGTGAGAGGGAGGAGGCAGGTTGAGGGACAGGCGTGAGGGAGTAGCGGGGTCTGATTTGGGCTCAGGCATGGTCAGACCCATGCGGCTGGGGGGTAGCTCTCTAGAGGGGGGCCCTGGGTCCCATCTCCCTCCTGCTTCCCCCCCTGGGACCACTGCATCAGGGCTCTTCCTCTTTCCCTCTTTCTCGCCTCCCTCCTCCTCCCCCTCTTCCTCCTCCCACTCGTCCTCTATGGTGATCTCATCAGGGTTGTAGGAGCTGGACAGGCCTGAGGTGTCACTAGGATATTCACTGGGTTCATCTCCACTCTGGACTTCATCATCCTCCAGCTCTGGGGCTCCTGTGCCTATCTGGCCCCCATATCCTCCCTGCCCAACCTGGGCATAGATGTCTCGGAGGCCCAGGGTGGCACAGAGCTCGGTTGGTCTGGGAGTTGGTGCTGTAGCTGGGGTGGGCATGGGGCTGTGGCCGGGCAGGGTCGTAGGCTGGCACGGTCAGGCTGAAGTTGTCAGGGATGGACAGTTCACCCCCCAGGTCACCCACAGCCTCCATCATGGCTGCCTCAGACGCACTGAAGTCCCACCTGGACAACATTCAGAAGTAGTTAGACACAGAGATCATGAGCAGCACATTACACGTGTGTGTGTGTGGGTGGGTGTGCATGCGTAAGTGAGGGATGGTTTGTATGTGCATGTACGCAAATGTGTATGCATGTGTGCAGAGTGCATTCGGAAAGTATTCAGACCCCTTCACTATTTCCACATTTTTTTTTAACGTTACAGCCTTATTCTAAAATGGATTAAATTAAATTGTTCCCCCCCCCCCCCCCCCCCCCCCCATCAATCTTCAGGTTCAATTCCGGGCTCTGGTTGGGCCACTCAACGACATTCAGAGACTTGTCCCGAAGCCACTCCTGCGTTGTCTTGGCTGTGTGCTTAGGGTCGTTGTCCTGTTGGAAGGTGAACCTTCGCCCCAGTCTGAGGTCCTGAGCACTCTGGAGCAGGTTTTCATCAAGGATCTCTCTGTACTTTGCTCTGTTCATCTTTCCCTCAATCCTGACTAGTCTCCCAGTCTCTGCCGCTGAAAAACGTCCCCACAGCATGATGCTGCCACCACCATGCTTCACTGTAGGGATGGTTCCAGGTTTCCTCCAGACGTGACGCTTGGCATTCAGGCCAAAGAGTTCAATCTTGGTTTCATCAGACCAGAGAATCTTGTTTCTCATGGTCTGGGAGTCCTTTAGGTGCCTTTTGGCAAACTCCAAGTGGGCTGTCATGTGCCTTTTACTGAGGCAGTGGCTTCCGTCTGGTCACTCTACCATTAAGGCCTGATTGGTGGAGTGCTGTAGAGATGGTTTTCCTTCTGGAAGGTTCTCCCATCTCCACAGAGGAACTCTGGAGCTCTGTCGCAGTGACCATCGGGTTCTTGGTCACCTCCCTAACGAACACTCTTCTCCCCCGATTGCTCAGTTTGGCAGGGCGAACAGCTCTAGGAAGAGTCTTGGTGGTCCAAACTTCTTCCATTTACAGTGGCTTGCGAAAGTATTCACCCCCCTTGGCATTTTTCCTATTTTGTTGCCTTACAACCTGGAATTAAAATGGATTTTTAGGGGGTTTGCATCATTTGATTTACACAACATGCCTACCTCTATATTTGTGTGTGAAACAAACAAGAAATAAGACAAAAAAACTGATCTTGAGTGTGCATAACTATTCACCCCCCCCCCCCAAAGTCAATACTTTGTAGAGCCACCTTTTGCAGCAATTACAGCTGCAAGTCTCTTGGGGTATGTCTCTATAAGCTTGGCACATCTAGCCACTGGGATTTTTTCCCCATTCTTCAAGGCAAAACTGCTCCAGCTGGTGTACAGCAATCTTTAAGTCATACCACAGATTCTCAGTTGGTTTGAGGTCTGGGCTTTGACTAGGCCATTCCAAGACATTTAAATGTTTTCCCCTAAACCACTTGAGTGTTGCTTTAGCAGTATGCTTAGGGTAATTGTCCTGCTGGAAGTTGAACCTCCGTCCCAGTCTCAATTTTCTAGAAGACTGAAAGAATTTCCCTGTATTTAGGGCCATCCATAATTCCTTCAATTCTGACCACTTTCCCAGTCCCTGCTGATGAAAAACATGGATGGTGTTCTCGGGGTGATAAGAGGTGTTGGGTTTGCGCCAGACATAGCGTTTTCCTTGATGGCCAAAAAGCTCAATTTTAGTCTGATCTGACCAGAGTACCTTCTTCCATATGTTTGGGGAGTCTCCCACATGCCTTTTGGCGAACACCAAACGTGGTTGCTTATTTTTTCTTTAAGCAATGTCTTTTATTTGGCCACTCTTCCGTAAAGCCCAGCTCTGTGGAGTGTACGGCTTAAAGTGGTCCTATGGACAGATACTCCAATCTCCACTGTGGAGCTTTGCAGCTCCTTCAGGGTTATCTTTGGTCTCTTTGTTGCCTCTCTGATTAATGCCCTCCTTGCCTGGTCCGTGAGTTTTGGTGGGCGGCCCTCTCTTGGCAGGTTTGTTGTGGTGCCATATTCTTTCTATTTTTTAATAATGGATTTAATGGTGCTCCGTGGGATGTTCAAAGTTTCTGATATTTTTTTATAACCCAACCCTGATCTGTACTTCTCCACAACTTTGTCCCTGAACTGTTTGGAGAGCTCCTTGGTCTTCGTGGTGCCGCTTGCTTGGTGGTGCCCCTTGCTTAGTGGTGTTGCAGACTCTGGGGCCTTTCAGAACAGGTGTATATATACTGAGATCATGTGACACTTAGATTGCACACAGGTGGACTTTATTTAACTAATTATGTGACTTCTGAAGGTAATTGGTTGCACCAGATCTTATTTAGGGGCTTCATAGCAAAGGGGGTGAATACATATGCACGCACTACTTTTCCGTTATTTAGTTTTTTGAATTTTTTGAAACAAGTTATTTTTTTCATTTCACTTCACTAATTTTGACTATTTTGTGTATGTTTATTACATGAAATCCAAATAAACATCCATTTAAATTACAGGTTGTAATGCAAGAAAATAGGAAAAAACACCAAGGGGGATGAATACTTTTGCAAGGCACTATAAGACCTTCAATGCTACAGAAATGTTTTGGTAACCTTCCCCTGTTCTGTGCCTCGGAGCTCTCCGGACACTTCCTTCGACCTCATGGCTTGGTTTTTGCTCTGACATGCACTGTCAACTATGGGACCTTATATATATTTCCAAATCATGTCCAATCAATTGAATTTATCACAGGTGGACACCAATCAAGTTGTAGAAACATCTCAAGGATGAGCAATGGAAACAGGATGCACCTGAGCTCAATTTCAAGTCTCATAGCAAAGGTTCTGAATACTTATGTAAATAAGGTATTTCTGTTTGTTATTTTTAATAAATGTGCCAAAAAAATCTAAAAACCTGTTTTTGCTTTGTCATTATGGGGTATTGTGTGTAGATTGATGAGGGAAACAAATAAATTAATCAATTTTAGAATAAGGCTGTAACGTAACAAAATGTGGAAAAAGGGAAGGGGTCTGAATACTTTCCGAATGCACTGTATGTGAGATAGTAGGGTTTGTAATGTGTGTGTGAGTGAGTGAGTGAGTGAGTGAGTGAGTGAGTGAGTGAGTGAGTGAGTGAGTGAGTGAGTGAGTGAGTGAGTGAGTGAGTGAGTGAGAGAGAGACAAAAAGAGAGAGAGAGAGAGAGAGAGAGAGAGAGACAAAAAGAGAGAGATTGATTGATTGAGTGAATGAATAAGTAAGAGAGAAGTGTGTGTAGTATGTGAGAGAGCGAGTGTCTGACCTTGTGTGCAGGCCGTTGTTCTGTGGGGGGTTCCAGTAGTTAGGACTGACAGTCTGCAGGCTGTCTGTAGCCTTCAGGATGGCCAGCCACTCTGGATCATACTCCAGACCCTGGGACGATCCTGGCCTGTCTGCTACCTCTACGATCTGAAACACACACCCTACAAGTCAGCATCAACTCATACATGCACTACAGAGAACACGCCTATAGCCAATACTAGCCCAAAATAAGACTTGCAAGCTGTTTCACAGACCAGTATGAACAGATTCTCCATTCAGAAGTAGGTTTAATCTGGATCTATGAAACTGGAACATAATCACTTGCATGGCATGTGTCATCACCCTCTCTCTATATCTCTCTCTCACCTGTAGGAAGTCCCTGTAGGGGAGGCACTTATCCAGTGAGAGGAATTTGGTGGTGCGGGGGGCAGCATCAACTTTGGCCTGAAGGTACAAACAGAGCTGTGATAGATCCAGTGCTGATATGGCAGCACATACATTATATATACAATCAGGAGAAATAAGATGTTGGTGGGGGATATGTCAATGTCGATGCTGAATAAATGCATCATGCGACAATCACAGAATCTTTCATTCTAATTAATCAGAAAGAATCAAATCTTTGAATATGCACGGCAGTCTCTCTCAACTGTCTTCAGTTCAGCTCACCGGGTGCTGCATTAGGGCAGCGAACTTGACGTGGAGGTGTGCAGAGAACCAGTAGTTAGGCTGCAAATGGGCCAGGAGCTCTGCAGCTGCAGGACTACCCAGCGTGTTGGACTCCACCTCCTGCCTCAGGAACTTTTTCTTCCTCAGTAGCTCCCCTGTGCTGCCGTAATGGTAGATCCCACGAGGCCAGTCATGGGTTAGGAAGACATCCACGGGCATCTGGATCTAGTGGTAAAATAGGGGGGCACATAATATGACATATGATATAATAGGGGGGACATAATATGACATATTAACCCTGTGAGTGGTAGTCACCTGTTTTAGTTTGAAGACATCGATGTTCCTGATGTGGTAAACACTGCGTAGAGTTTCTGGGTTATATGGAGGGAACTCGTAATGTCCTGTAAAAAAGAGCATTGATTAAATTTTACAAACAGTTGGGCTGCAACACATTTGCAGAGACAGGAGGAAATATCTACTAGAGCTTTATGACCTCACCTTTCCTATAATCATGCCCTTTGAAGATTCCAGACAAGCCACCAATCCTTACTCCTTTGTAGCGCACAATGCCAGCATAACCTGATGGAAGACCACATACACTTTATTATTAGATGAACATTTTCGGGCAAGTGAAAACTGCTCCCGAATTTCCTGATGGACAAGTGGCCTTGAGAGCCTTGAGATCCGTGGAACTTGTAATATGCGTTTTAACTTTCTACCCAGAGTGTGACGGTAAAGTCATACCCATGTAGTAGATGTTGGGAGCCACCCAGCCCCCGTACGGCAGCTCCTGGAGATGGTTGGAGGCCTCATGATTCCCCCCGATGAAGATAGTCAGGACCGGAGCCTTCTTCTCTCCAGAGTAGTACCTGAACGAACCAAGATACAACCATCAGAAATACAACAGATTGTCCTTTAAACTAAAGGAACTATAAGTAGTACTGACAGGGTTGGGTTTAACCTGGCTGTTGATTCCTATGGCATCTAAAGCCATAGGGGTTAACAGCCATCCCTCAGAGTAAGGTAGGGTCTAGATTTTTTCCAGGATCAGGTCATGCGGGGGTCAGGAAAAACTCCTGGCCCTACATAAGAGAGGGAGCAGAGGTGATAGGAAGGAACTAACTTGTAGAAGGTCTGCATCTGCCTGTACTTTTGCGGCACAGCCATGCACTTCATGTCCCCCTCGTTCCTCACAGCCTGGAAGTCTCCACAACACAGCAGCAGGTCCACTTTCACCCCCTCCTTCTGCTCCAGGTAGCCAATCGTCTCATAGATTTTATCCAGCTCTCCATGGCAACATCCTTCCACAGCTATTTTCATGGCTGATGATTGGCTGTAGACTCCCGTAAGGGTCTTCTTTTTCTGTGCTGAGCTGAATTATATGATGAGGAAGCCAACAATTATAGAATTGAATAAAATAGAATGTAGCAAGTTAGCTCAATCATTTGTGTTGGTTGTTTACTACTAGCTCTAGTAGAGATCTGCTCGCTATCACACGTCCGCACTGTCCGGGGTTGTAGCCTTGTCCTGGCTAAGGGACATGCAATGCAATCACTCGTCAAATCAAACTAACTTGTTCAATTGCTTCTCGCCTTTTGCACTTTGGAGTTACGATGTAGCGTTAGCTAACTAGCCACCATGATTATGTTGGTTTGTTCTGTTTATCTCAACCAAAATGTATGACTCAAACGTTTTTTCCCACCTCAGCGTAGTTTGACCTGAGCGCATGCGCAAACATTCACCAAAGTAAATCGAGTGATGGATTCGTAGGTAGCACTTTCGCAATCAAAATAATTTACTACAAATAGTCAAACACCTGTACATTATCCCGAACTGTAATACTTAGCGTCACTTCTTTATGAATTAAAATATTTGTTGTATGCACACAAATGCTTATAACAATAATGTCTTTATCAGCCATGCTTCAATTTCAAATCTGCCAGTTTAGAACCAAAATGTACTTGATTGAGTTGATTTACAAATTGACATTCGATCATCTACAATGTAGCCATTTGGCAAATATAAAGAATAGTTTCATTAGAAAAGGAAACGTTATCTGTGGCTCAAACAGACCAAAGACACCCCTGTTAACTCCACCTAACCCATTGAATACTAACTTATTCTGAAGTGTTGCGTGATTAAGCTATATTTACTTTTTAAATCTGAGCAGCTGGTCTGGAGGGCGGAGTATTCGGAAAGTGCTACTCCAATTGGGGCGCTCGACAGGGGGAAGAGAGATGGCGTGCTTGTTGGAGGCCCCTCTCCGCATCAGCGTGTTATCTGTGAGTGTCCCTCTTATACTATGGATTAAATACTTACTTTTTGTTGTGCATTCTTCATAACATTGGATAGTGAAACGCTTTTAGTGTGTCGCATCAATAGCAATGTATTTGCGGACATGCACTGAAGTTACTGCTAGCTAGCTAGCACAGGCTTTACAACATGTATCTAGCAAGCTAGTTAGCAAGGGCGGTCTCCCGACTTTCACCCGGAATGAGTTAGCAACCGGTGACATACATTTTAGGTGAATCCAATTATAATGAAATCGCAAACATGTAGTTAACAACTTTTTGCACAAAACGTTAACGATGCAATCAAATAAGGTTATGGTAGTTAACTGGAACAAACCGCTAGTTAGTTAGCTGTCCATAACCATAGTTACTCTAGCCCTCTAACGCCCGGGAAGTTCCGATTCAAACTCATTTACCAGCTCTGCAAGCGTTATAATGTGAAAATACGTTAGTTGATCACCAAATATGCAGTTTCGCTGAGCAACTATCATAATTTACTCCCGTTGCATCCGGTATGTAACGTTATCTACTTCCCAAAAAGGTGTAAATAAAAATGTACAAGCAACCGAAAAATGCAAAATCACTCATTACTGCCACGCACAGGTTGGAAGGCAGGTCAATACATTGGCGGTGCCGATGATGATTTTTTTTTCGGTTGCTTGTACATTTTTATTTAGACGTTTTTTGGAAGTATAGCGAAACCCCATATTTGGTGTCAACGAACATCATTTTGACATTTATAATGCTTGCAGAGCTGGTGAATGGGAGTTTGAATCCGTGCTTCCTGGGTGTTAGAGGTCTCTAAGAGCCAAAAATGAGGTCAGACGTGCGGTATGGATGCTGTGACGCAATTTCGAAGCTTCCGGAGGCAGAGGCCAAATTGAGCTCTGTACGGCATCGCTGTTCGCCTCTCAAGTGTTGTAACAATGCGGAGGGCTCAGTATTGACATGATTGGTTGGCGGGAGGTCCTGTATAAACACAAACGCACTTCCTTGACAACAGCTCTGCCCTGTGCGGCTTAGTGCAAAAAGTATGTTTGCTCTGACTTCTGCAGAGGCCGCATCGCAGTAAACGTTGTATGGCCAATGCAGACGTCGTATTGACCATGTAGCACCATTAACGCACATACTGGTTGTCAGTTAGCAGCAGTCAGTTTTTTTTGGAAGATGTCTGTTACGATTTAGACCCAACTGCTGTCAGTTTTGTCATCGAGAACCGACTTTCAACATTTTTAAAACCACAACGTTAGCACTTTGCTTAGGGTTCAACTAGCTACCGAACAGTTTAAGATTGAAGTTATAATGCTGAAACGACCCCCGCTCTCAACCCCATCGAACACCTTCAGGCCTAATCGCCCAACATCAGTGCCCGACCTCACTAATGCTCTTGTGGCTGAATGGAGGCAAGTCCCCGCAGCAATGTTCCAACATCTAGTGGAAATCCTTCCCAGAAGAGTGGAGGCTGTTATCGCAGCAAAGGGGGGGGGACCATCTCCATATTAATGCCTATGATTTTGGAATGAGATGTTCGACGAGCAGGTGTCCACCTACTTTTGGTCATGTAGTGTATTTCACATAGTGAGTAGTGCGGAAAGTTCTGGACAGTCCCTACCACTCGATGATAAACATAAACAAAGTTATTAAGTGACATATGACAGTGCCCTGGATGAGTTTACAGTTTGACGAGAGTAGCCTAGCGCCTGTTGACCAGTTGTATAGTTAGGAGGGGGTTTTCTGGGATGGCGTATCTGTCTGGCCCAGACCAGTCCTGTCTGCTGAGTATGTGGTTGGTGTCAGCGGTGGGATGATGATGATGAGGAAGGCCAGCGCTAACTCACTGTTGTTCTCTCTCGTGTCACCATACAGGAGGTCACGGCCACCAGCCGCCATTATGTTGACGGGCTGTTTCACCCCGACCCACAGAAAGTGCTGCAGGGAGTCATGTAAGTACATAATAATAACATGACCTTGTGTTGTAGTAGCCTATGTCTTCCTATAGGAACATTTATATTTGTCCTGTCTCTGTCCCTCTTTAGTGCTCTGGAGGGAGCTGTCTGTCAGTGATTGGTTGTTTGAGTGCAATATGAGCATGCCCAGTGTGAACTCAGTGAGAGCTGCTTGGACCACTTTGTTTACATGTGGCTGTAAGACCTGTGTGTGTGTGATCAGTTGGTCTGGTTCGTCTTTATTTTTAACTCTGAGGCCCAGCTCTGGTTACAGTTTTAGGCGGCTGGCCGCATCGCTACCTGACTGGTGCAGCTGTTCTTTTCCACTTGCCTCCACTAGCTCATGGCTGTTTCATTCCATTAGCTACTAATATCTTTATATTACATACATTACATTCTATAGGGTCTCATCAGTTGGCCAAACACAGTTAGATTTCTGTACTCTGGATAACATTTCATATGTTATATTATTGGCTTATATAAGTGGTGTGTGATATTCAGTATTCTATCCTCTCAAAGCAATACGTTAACAAGCTTGAACAGCACTGATGTTTCTCAGCTGCGCCTGTAGGCGTTAGCCCTAGTGTTTAGACTTGTTTAGCGTAGGTGATATGATTTACACTGTGGATGAACTCTGACAAGTGTTGTTGTTATTGTGGCTGTTAGTAACATGCTGAGGGAGCTCCACACATATGACACTGTGTGTGTGTGTGTTAACAGTGACATGAAGAATGCTGTCATCGGAAACAACAAACAGAAAGCCAATCTGATTGTCCTGGGAGCTGTGCCCAGGTATCTCGCTCTCTACCGTTTCCCTCCTACCTTCTTTCTCACCTCCCCTCTTTTCCCGCTTTCCCTGTCTTTATTTTCTCTCTCACTGAGTATGTCCCTCTTTCCCCCCAGGTTACTGTACCTGCTCCAGCAGGGCTCATCTAGTTCAGAGCTGAGGACAGAGTGTGCGGTGGTGCTGGGCTCAGAGCTGAGGACAGAGTGTGCGGTGGTGCTGGGCTCAGAGCTGAGGACAGAGTGTGCGGTGGTGCTGGGCTCAGAGCTGAGGACAGAGTGTGCGGTGGTGCTGGGCTCAGAGCTGAGGACAGAGTGTGCGGTGGTGCTGGGCTCAGAGCTGAGGACAGAGTGTGCGGTGGTGCTGGGCTCAGAGCTGAGGACAGAGTGTGCGGTGGTGCTGGGCTCAGAGCTGAGGACAGAGTGTGCGGTGGTGCTTGGCAGTCTGGCCATGGGCACCGAGAACAACATCAAGTCCCTGGTGGACTGTCACATCATCCCTGCCCTGCTGCAAGGTACACACACACACACACACGCAAACACACTGCAAACACTAGGGAAGTGTCAGTGACTTATGCTCTCTGTGTATATGCAGGTCTCGTATGTCCAGACCTGATCTTCATCGAGGCTTGTCTACGCTGCCTAAGGACAGTCTTCATCAGTCCAGTCACCCCAGTGCAGCTGCTCTACACTGTAAGGCTTAGTCACTCACTCTCTGACACACAGACCATCCATAGGGGTGGAACATAATATTACAACATGCTATCTCCATCACCCATCTGAGCCGTGTGTTCTGAGCCGTGTGGACAGTAACAGTGTGTCTGTCTCCTTCAGGACCCCACTGTGATTCCCCACCTCATGTCCCTAATGAGTCGGTCTCAGCGGACGCAGGAGTACATCACCCAGATCTTCTCCCACTGCTGCAAGGTCAGTACAGCAGTACACATTTAAAACACTTCACATTACAGAAAGTCACAGTATTCTAATAGAAGACATGTTAATGAGTCTGTCTGAGGAATTACTCAGGTGTGTGTGTTCTGTAGACTCCAGAGCATCAGACGGTTCTGTTTAACCACGGGGCCATCCAGAACATCGCTCCCATGCTCATCTCTCCCTCCTATAAGGTACTGAAACAATTACTCACCCATGTCTCAGTTCTACCATCTCACAGACTTAAGATACCTCTGTATTAACATGTCTCACCCTCTCCCCCCTCTCTCACCCTCTCCCCCCCTCTCTCACCCTCTCTCACCCTCTCCCCCCTCTTATTTCACTACCTTTCTTTCTTTTTCTCTCTCATCCCATACAGGTACGAATGCAGGCATTAAAATGCTTCTCTGTCCTGGCCTACGAGAACACTCAGGTCTCCACGACACTGGTGAATGGTAAGAGACTACTTTTCCCCCTTCTATTTCTCTCTATCCCTGCCTCCCTTTCTCTGCCTTTCTCTGACTCGTTCTCTCTCTTTCTCTCCTCTCTTTCTCTCTGTCCTTTCTTTTATCTACAGTGGCTTGTGAAAGTATTCACCCCCCTTGGCATTTTTCCTATTTTGTTGCCTTACAACCTGGAATTTTGGGGGGTTTGTATCATTTGATTTACACAACATGCCTACTACTTTGAAGATGCAAAATACTTTTTATTGTGAAACAAACAAGAAATAAGACAAAAAAACAGAACTTGAGCGTGCATAACTATTCACACCCCCAAAGTCAATTCTTTGTAGAGCCACCTTTTGCAGCAATTACATGTGCAAGTCTCTTGGGGTATGTATTCAAGGCAAAACTGCTCCAGCTCCTTCAAGTTGGATGGGTTCCGTTGGTGTACAGCAATCTTTAAGTCATACCACAGATTCTCAATTGGATTGAGGTCTGGGCTTTGACTAGGCCATTCTAAGACATTTAAATGTTTCCCCTTAAACCACTCAAGTGTTGCTTTAGTAGTATGCTTAGGGTCATTGTCCTGCTTGAAGGTGAACCTCCGTCCCAGTCTCAAATCTCTGGAAGATTGAAACAGGTTTCCCTTAAGAATTTCCCTGTATTTAGTGCAATCCATCATTCCTTCAATTCTGACCAGTTTCCCAGTCCCTGCCGATGGAAAAACATCCCCACAGCATGATGCTGCCACCACCATGCTTCACTGTGGGGATGGTGTTCTCGGGGTGATGAGAGGTGTTGGGTTTGTGCCAGACATTTTCCTTGATGGCCAAAAAGCTCAATTTAATATCATCTGACCAGAGTACCTTCTTCCATATGTTTGGGGAGTCTCCCACATGCCTTTTGGCGAACACCAAACGTGTTTGCTTATTTTTTCCTTTAAGCAATGGCTTTTTTCTGGCCACTTTTCCATAAAGCCCAGCTCTGTGGAGTGTACGGCTTAAAGTGGTCCTATGGACAGATACTCCAATCTCCGCTGTGGAGCTTTGCAGCTCCTTCAGGGTTATCTTTGGTCTCTTTGTTGCCTCTGATTAATGCCCTCCTTGCCTGGTCCGTGAGTTTTGGTGGGCGGCCCTCTCTTGGCAGGTTTGTTGTGGTGGGATGTTCAAAGTTTCGGATATTCTTTTATAACCCAACTCTGATCTGTACTTCTCCACAACTTTGTCCCTGACCTGTTTGGAGAGCTCCTTGGTTTTCATGGTGCCACTTGCTTGGTGGTGCCCCATGCTTAGTGGTGTATATATGAGATCATGTGACATGTGACACTTAGATGGCATACAAGTGGACTTTATTTAACTAATTATGTGACTTCTGAAGGTAATCGGTTGCACCAGATCTTATTTAGGGACTTCATAGCAAAGGGGGTGAATACATATGTGCGCACCCCTTTTCCGTTATTTAATTTTGTATAATTTTTTTTAAACAAGTTATTTTTTTTACTTCACCAATTTGGACTATTTTGTGTAAGTTTATTACATGAAATCCAAATAAAAATCCATTTAAATTACAGGTTGTAATGCAACAAAATAGGAAAAACGCCAAGGGGGATGAATACTTTTGCAAGGCACTGTATCTCTGTCTCCCTCTCTCTCTCTCGCTCTTTTATTCTTGGCTGCTCTGAGACCTGACTGGGACAGCTTCCAGCTGTGTTCTTTACTCTGTGTCAGAGGTGTTCTATTATTGGCATTACCTTGTTATCATCATGGTAGCAGACAGGTTGTCAGATGGTGATAACATAGTATTATGACACTACTATACAAATCTATGTTCTCCTCTCTGTTCTCAGTGCTGGTGGATGGGGAGCTGCTCTCTCAGGTATTTGTCAGAATGATGCAAAGGGATCGGCCCATTGAAATGCAGCTAACAGCAGCCAAGTGGTGAGTGTTTCACTTGACTATTAAACTAAGTGTGCTGCAATTGACCAAGTCGATGTAAGTGCAATTAGGTGTGTACCTGCGGACTGAAGTAAAGTGTCTGAAGTGTTTTCCTTTCTAAAGATGACCTCTCTCTCTCTTTCTCTTCCTGCCTCGCTCTCTTTCTGTCCCCCCAGTCTAACGTACATGTGTCGAGCGGGAGCCATCAGGACAGATGACAGGTGCATTGTTTTAAAGGTGATTATACTATTTTGCGTGTAACATTGTGCACTCATCTAATGACTCAGTCTGATACTGATATGTGTGTTGAGTCTATGCTGCCTATTGTGTGTGTATAGTCTGGCCTGTGTGTGTGTATAGTCTGGCCTGTGTGTGTGTGGACATTTTATTGGGATGGATCTTGTCCTAGAGGCAGAGCAGAGAGGTTTCCACTAGATGGGCCAGCCGCAAAGTCAAAATTGTCTATAACATAAAACATTTATGGAAACAAAATGTAGCTTTTTGGTCATCATTTAAGGTTAGGGTTTGGCACAAGGTTAGCAGTGTGGTTAGGGTTAAAATCAGATGTTATGACTTTGTGGCTGTGCCACCTAGTGACCATCCTGCAGAGCTGCCTCCAGTACATAAGGCATCCCAACCTGTGTGTATAACTCTGGTTCCATCCCTGTCTGTAGACCCTGCCGTGCCTGGTGAGGATGTGCAGTAAGGAGCGTCTGTTGGAGGAGCGTGTGGAGGGGGCAGAGACCCTGGCCTACCTGATGGAGCCTGATGTGGAGCTGCAGAGGATCGCCAGTGTAACAGACCACCTAGTGGCCATGCTGGCTGACTACTTCAAATACCCCAGCTCTGTCAGCGCCATCACTGACATCAAGAGGGTGAGACACTGGACTATAGTCATTGAACCTAGCCAGGCAGTCTTACAAGGCAGAGAAAACAGTGACCATCAGGAAAACACTGAAACTGTGGTGAGAAAAGAACACCACAGTCCTTACTTTGGAAAAAAACCTCTAACTCTTTAACCTCAATAAATGTTAACCTAATATTTAATTTCGTTTTTTTTCTGTAGTTGGATCACGACCTGAAGCACGCTCATGAGCTGAGGCAAGCTGCCTTCAAGCTGTACGCCTCACTGGGCTCCAACGATGAAGACATCCGCAAGAAGGTGACTTTCACTCAACAGTACACACACACCCCTACCCAGCCACTTTTAGAAGTGTGTGTCCTTCTTGTAACCCCCCCCCCCCCCCCCCCCCCTCCTGTTTCTCCCTCCTCAGATCACAGAGACAGAGAACATGATGGACAGGATAGTGAGTGGCTTATCAGAATCCAGCGTCAAGGTGCGGCTAGCAGCCGTCAGGTACAGATAACAGATAACATCTCTACCTCTCTCTACTCTGCTCTCCACTGAGGGTGCTGTGACATCCTTAGTGTCCTGTCACATTCTGTTCCCCTCTTTTTATATATATAAAAAAGCCAGACTACGGTTTGCAACTGCACATGGGGACAAAGATCGTACTTTTTGCTATACAACCAAATAATTATTTAGTACAAGAATCGACCAGGGTCCAGTTGACCAATAGATTCATAGAATTTGTATATTAAAACTTCTGTTCCCCTCTTAGCCTATGAAGATCTCCTTGTACCTAAGACATCTGACTCTTCCTATATGTCTATGTCTCTCTCTGTGTCCAGGTGTCTTCACAGTCTGTCCCGGTCAGTCCAGCAGTTGAGGACTAGTTTTCATGACCACGCAGTATGGAAACCCCTTATGAAGGTCTGTGCCCTCGTATTACCCTCTATATCTCTTTATAGTCACATTGTGTTTGTGTAAGCTGCATAGGAAATGGCCAATATGTGGGGATATTAATAAGACAATATGTGGGGATATTAATAAGACAATATGTGGGGATATTAATAAGACAATATGTGGGGATATTAATAAGACTGTCTGTACTCTTCTCTCTCTGTTTGTGTAGTTGTTACAGAATGCTCCAGACGAGGTGCTGGTCATGGCCTCTTCTACACTATGCAACCTGCTGCTGGAGTTCTCCCCCAGCAAAGAGGTAAAACAGGCAGCAATACAACACTACTACTGTTACCTAGGCAACAATACAACACTACTACTGTTACCTAGTGGCAGGCAGCAATACAACACAACTACTGTTACCTAGGCAGCAGTACAACACTACTACTGTTACCTAGTGGCAGCAATACAACATTACTACTGTTACCTAGGCAGCAATACAACACTACTACTGTTACCTAGGCAGCAATACAACACTACTACTGTTACCTAGGCAGCAATACAACACTACTACTGTTACCTAGGGCAGCAATACAACACTACTACTGTTACCTAGGCAGCAATACAACACTACTACTGTTACCTAGGCAGCAATACAACACTACTACTGTTACCTAGGCAGCAATACACCACTACTACTGTTACCTAGGCAGCAATACACCACTACTACTGTTACCTAGGCAGCAATACAACACTACTACTGTTACCTAGGCAGCAATACAACACTACTACTGTTACCTAGTGGCAGCAATACAACACTACTACTGTTACCTAGTGGCAGCAATACAACACTACTACTGTTACCTAGTGGCAGCAATACAACACTACTACTGTTACCTAGTGGCAGCAATACAACATTACTACTGTTACCTAGGCAGCAATACAACACTACTATTGTTACCTAGGCAGCAATACAACACTACTACTGTTACCTAGGCAGCAATACAACACTACTACTGTTACCTAGTGGCAGGCAGCAATACAACACTACTACTGTTACCTAGTGGCAGGCAGCAATACAACACTACTACTGTTACCTAGTGGATGGCAGCAATACAATACTACTACTGATACCTAGACAGCAATACAATACTACTACTGTTACCTAGTGGCAGGCAGCAATACAACACTACTACTGTTACCTAGGCAGCAATACAACACTACTACTGTTACCTAGGCAGCAATACAACACTACTACTGTTACCTAGGCAGCAATACACCACTACTACTGTTACCTAGGCAGCAATACACCACTACTACTGTTACCTAGGCAGCAATACAACACTACTACTGTTACCTAGTGGCAGCAATACAACACTACTACTGTTACCTAGGCAGCAATACAACACTACTACTGTTACCTAGTGGCAGCAATACAACACTACTACTGTTACCTAGTGGCAGCAATACAACACTACTACTGTTACCTAGTGGCAGGCAGCAATACAACACTACTACTCTTACCTAGGCAGCAGTACAACACTACTACTGTTACCTAGGTAGCAATACAACACTACTACTGTTACCTAGTGGCAGGCAGCAATACAACACTACCACTGTTACCTAGGCAGCAATACAAAACTACTACTGTTACCTAGTGGCAGCAATACAACACTACTACTGTTACCTAGTGGCAGGCAGCAATACAACACTACTACTGTTACCTAGGCAACAATACAACACTACTGTTACCTAGTGGCAGGCAACAATACAACACTACTACTGTTACCTAGTGGCAGGCAACAATACAACACTACTACTGTTACCTAGTGGCAGGCAGCAATACAACACTACTACTGTTACCTAGTGGCAGGCAGCAATACAACACTACTACTGTTACCTAGTGGATGGCAGCAATACAATACTACTACTGTTACCTAGACAGCAATACAACACTACTACTGTTACCTAGTGGCAGGCAGCAATACAACACTACTACTGTTACCTAGGCAGCAATACAACACTACTAATGTTACCTAGTGGCAGGCAGCAATACAACACTACTACTGTTACCTAGGCAGCAATACAACACTACTACTGTTACCTAGTGGCAGGCAGCAATACAACACTACTACTGTTACCTAGTGGCAGGCAGCAATACAACACTACTACTGTTAACTAGGCAACAATACAACACTACTACTGTTACCTAGTGGCAGGCAGCAATACAACACTACTACTGTTACCTAGGCAGCAATACAACACTACTACTGTTACCTAGTGGCAGGCAGCAATACAACACTACTACTGTTACCTAGTGGCAGGCAGCAATACAACACTACTACTGTTACCTAGTGGATGGCAGCAATACAACACTACTGATACCTACAGCATACAACTACTACTGTTACCTAGTGGCAGGCAGCAATACAACACTACTACTGTTACCTAGGCAGCAATACAACACTACTACTGTTACTAGGCAGCAATACAAACTACTACTGTTACCTAGGCACAATTACACACTACTACTGTTACCTAGGCGCAATAACACCACTACTACTGTACCTAGGCAGGCAATAACACTACTAACTGTTTCCTAGTGGCAGCAATACAACACTAACTACTGTTACCTAGGCAGCAATACAAACACTACTACTGTTACCTAGTGGCAGCATACAACACTACTACTGTTACCTTGGCAGCAATACACACTATCTGGTTTACCCTAGTGGCAGGCAGCAATAGCAACATACTACTCTACCTAGGCAGCAGTACAACACTACTTACTGTTACCTAGGTAGCAATAGACACTACTACTGTTACCTAGTGCAGGCAGCATCCAACACTATCACTGTTACCTAGGCAGCATACCAAACTACTACTGTTACCTAGTGGCAGCAACACACTACTACGTTACCTAGTGGCAGGCAGCAATACAACCTACTACTGTTACTAGGCACAATCAACACTACTGTTACCTAGTGTGCAGGCAACACACACACTACTACTGTTACCCTAGTGGCAGGCAACAATAAACACTACTACTGTTACCTAGTGGCAGGCAGCATACACACTACTACTGTTACCTTGGCAGGCAGCAATACAACACTACTACTGTTACCTAGTGGTGCAGCAATACAATACTACTACTGTTACCTGACAGCAATACACACTACTACTGTTACCTAGTGGCAGGCAGCATACAACACTACTTGTTACCTAGGCGCAATACAACACTACTAATGTTACCTAGGCAGGGCAATTACAACACTACTACTGTTACCTAGGCAGCAATACAACACTACTACTGTTACCTAGTGGCAGGCAGCAATACAACACTACTACTGTTACCTAGTGGCAGGCAGCAATACAACACTACTACTGTTAACTAGGCAACAATACAACACTACTACTGTTACCTAGTGGCAGGCAACAATACAACACTACTACTGTTACCTGTGGCAGGCGCAACAGAACTACTATGTTACCTAGTGGCAGCACAATACAACACACTACTGTTACTAGTGGATGGCAGCAATACAATACTACTACTGGTTCCTAGACAGCAATACAACTACTATGTTAATTCTATGCAGGCAATACAACACACACGTTATAGGCAGCAATACAAACTACTACTGTACCTAGTGGCAGGCAGCAATACAACACTTACTACTGTTACCTAGTGGCAGGCAGCAATACAACACTACTACTGTTACCTAGTGGCAGGCAGCAATACAAACACTACTACTGTTACCTAGTGGCAGGCAAACAATACAACACTACTACTGTTACCTAGTGGCAGGCAGCAATACAACACTACTACTGTTACCTAGTGGCAGGCAGCAATACAACACTACTACTGTTACCTAGTGGATGGCAGCAATACAATACTACTACTGTTACCTAGACAGCAATACAACACTACTACTGTTACCTAGTGTCAGGCAGCAATACAACACTACTACTGTTACCTAGTGGCAGGCAGCAATACAACACTACTACTGTTACCTAGGCAGCAATACAACACTACTACTGTTACCTAGTGGCAGGCAGCAATACAACACTACTACTGTTACCTAGTGGCAGGCAGCAATACAACACTACTACTGTTAACTAGGCAACAATACAACACTACTACTGTTACCTAGTGGCAGGCAGCAATCAACACTACTACTGTTACCTAGGCAGCAATACAACACTACTACTGTTACCTAGTGGCAGGCAGCAATACAACACTACTACTGTTACCTAGTGGCAGGCAGCAATACAACACTACTACTGTTACCTAGTGGCAGGCAGCAATACAACACTACTACTGTTACCTAGTGGCAGGCAGCAATACAACACTACTACTGTTACCTAGGCAGCAATACAACACTACTACTGTTACAGTGGGGAAAAAAAGTATTTAGTCAGCCACCAATTGTGCAAGTTCTCCCACTTAAAAAGATGAGAGGCCTGTAATTTTCATCATAGGTACACGTCAACTATGACAGACAAAATGAGAAAAAAAATCCTGAAAATCACATTGTAGGATTTTTTAATGAAATTTATTTGCAAATTATGGTGGAAAATAAGTATTTGGTCAATAACAAAAGTTTCTCAATACTTTGTTTATACCCTTTGTTGGCAATGACACAGGTCAAACGTTTCTGTAAGTCTTCACAAGGTTTTCACACACTGTTGCTGGTATTTTGGCCCATTCCTCCATGCAGATCTCCTCTAGAACTGTGATGTTTTGGGGCTGTCGCTGGGCAACACGGACTTTCAACTCCCTCCAAAGATTTTCTATGGGGTTGAGATCTGGAGACTGGCTAGGCCACTCCAGGACCTTGAAATGCTTCTTACGAAGCCACTCCTTCGTTGCCCGGGCGGTGTGTTTGGGATCATTGTTATGCTGAAAGACCCAGCCACATTTCATCTTCAATGCCCTTGCTGATGGAAGGAGGCTTTCACTCAAAATCTCACGATACATGGCCCCATTCATTCTTTCCTTTACACGGATCAGTCGTCCTGGTCCCTTTGCAGAAAAACAGCCCCAAAGCATGATGTTTCCACCCCCATGCTTCACAGTAGGTATGGTGTTCTTTGGATGCAACTCAGCATTCTTTGTCCTCCAAACACGACGAGTTGAGTTTTTACCAAAAAGTTATATTTTGGTTTCATCTGACCATATGACATTCTTTAATCCTCTTCTGGATCATCCAAATGCACTCTAGCAAACTTCAGACGGGCCTGGACATGTACTGGCTTAAGCAGGGGGACACGTCTGGCACTGCAGGATTTGAGTCCCTGGCGGCGTAGTGTGTTACTGATGGTAGGCTTTGTTACTTTGGTCCCAGCTCTCTGCAGGTCATTCACTAGGTCCCCCCGTGTGGTTCTGGGATTTTTGCTCACCATTCTTGTGATCATTTTGATCCCACAGGGTGAGATCTTGCGTGGAGCCCCAGATCGAGGGAGATTATCAGTGGTCTTGTATGTCTTCCATTTCCTAATAATTGCTCCCACAGTTGATTTCTTCAAACCAAGCTGCTTACCTATTGCATATTCAGTCTTCCCAGCCTGGTGCAGGTCTACAATTTTGTTTCTGGTGTCCTTTGACAGCTCTTTGCCTTGGCCATAGTGGAGTTTGGAGTGTGACTGTTTGAGGTTGTGGAAAGGTGTCTTTTATACTGATAACAAGTTCAAACAGGTGCCATTAATACAGGTAACGAGTGGAGGACAGAGGAGCCTCTTAAAGAAGAAGTTACAGGTCTGTGAGAGCCAGAAATCTTGCTTGTTTGTAGGTGACCAAATACTTATTTTCCACCATAATTTGCAAATAAATTCATTAAAAATCCTACAATGTGATTTTCTGGATTTATTTTTCTCATTTTGTCTGTCATAGTTGACGTGTACCTATGATGAAAATTACAGGCCTCTCATCTTTTTAAGTGGGAGAACTTGCACAATTGGTGGCTGACTAAATACTTTTTTCCCCCACTGTACCTAGTGGCAGGCAGCAATACAACACTACTACTGTTACCTAGTGGCAGCAATACAACACTACTACTGTTACCTAGTGGCAGGCAGCAATACAACACTACTACTGTTACCTAGGCAGCAATACAACACTACTACTGTTACCTATTGGCAGGCAGCAATACAACACTACTACTGTTACCTAGTGGCAGGCAGCAATACCACACTACTACTGTTACCTAGGCAGCAATACAACACTACTACTGTTACCTAGGCAGCAATACAACACTACTACTGTTACCTAGTGGCAGGCAGCAATACAACACTACTACTGTTACCTAGTGGCAGGCAGCAATACAACACTACTACTGTTACCTAGGCAGCAATACAACACTACTACTGTTACCTAGTGGCAGGCAGCAATACAACACTACTACTGTTACCTAGTGGCAGGCAGCAATACAACACTACTACTGTTACCTAGTGGCAGGCAGCAATACAACACTACTACTGTTACCTAGTGGCAGGCAGCAATACAACACTACTACTGTTACCTAGTGGCAGGCAGCAATACAATACTACTACTGTTACCTAGTGGCAGGCAGCAGTACAACACTACTACTGTTACCTAGTGGCAGGCAGCAATACAACACTACTACTGTTACCTAGTGGCAGCAATACAACACTACTACTGTTACCTAGTGGCAGGCAGCAATACAACACTACTACTGTTACCTAGTGGCAGGCAGCAATACAACACTACTACTGTTACCTAGACAGCTACTTGATTGGTAGACAAACTCAACTCTGTAAAGTTGTGATATGACATTTTTTTGCATGAAGTTTTAGGACTAAATATTAGCTGTCAGGTTGTGTATTTGCTGTTTATCTTGACCAGTGGGAGTAAGTACATGTGTTTTGTGTATGCCTGCAGCCCATCCTGGAGTCAGGGGTGATAGAGTTACTATGCAGTCTGACCCAGAGTGACAGTCCAGCCCTGAGGGTCAACGGCATCTGGGCTCTCATGGTGAGTCCCCACTTTACCCCTCTCTGTCTTGCTCTGCTCTCCCTCTTTACCTCTACAAAAGGTTGCATAACCAAAGTTCCCAGGTTTTTCAGCAATCTTGGCTGGAGGATTCTCAGAATCATCAGAGAATAAGCAGGGAGGAAACCCTTCAACTGACAATCTTCCAACCAGAACTTGTAGTTTCTGTAATTTTGCAACCCTAGTTTAGAAGGTGTCTGTCTAACCTACACCATCTTTTTTTGTGTGTGTATGTACAGTGGGGAAAAAAAGTATTTAGTCAGCCACCAATTGTGCAAGTTCTCCCACTTAAAAAGATGAGAGAGGCCTGTAATTTTCATCATAGGTACACGTCAACTATGACAGACAAAATGAGGAAAAAAAATCCAGAAAATCACATTGTAGGATTTTTTATGAATTTATTTGCAAATTATGGTGGAAAATAAGTATTTGGTCAATAACAAAAGTTTCTCAATACTTTGTTATATACCCTTTGTTGGCAATGACACAGGTCAAACATTTTCTGTAAGTCTTCACAAGGTTTTCACACACTGTTGCTGGTATTTTGGCCCATTCCTCCATGCAGATCTCCTCTAGAGCAGTGATGTTTTGGGGCTGTCGCTGGGCAACACGGACTTTCAACTCCCTCCAAAGATTTTCTATGGGGTTGAGATCTGGAGACTGGCTAGGCCACTCCAGGACCTTGAAATGCTTCTTACGAAGCCACTCCTTCGTTGCCCGGGCGGTGTGTTTGGGATCATTGTCATGCTGAAAGACCCAGCCACGTTTCATCTTCAATGCCCTTGCTGATGGAAGGAGGTTTTCACTCAAAATCTCACGATACATGGCCCCATTCATTCTTTCCTTTACACGGAACAGTCGTCCTGGTCCCTTTGCAGAAAAACAGCCCCAAAGCATGATGTTTCCACCCACATGCTTCACAGTAGGTATGGTGTTCTTTGGATGCAACTCAGCATTCTTTGTCCTCCAAACACGACGAGTTGAGTTTTTACCAAAAAGTTATATTTTGGTTTCATCTGACCATATGACATTCTCCCAATCCTCTTCTGGATCATCAAAATGCACTCTAGCAAACTTCAGACGGGCCTGGACATGTACTGGCTTATGCAGGGGGACACGTCTGGCACTGCAGGATTTGAGTCCCTGGCGGCGTAGTGTGTTACTGACGGTAGGCTTTGTTGCTTTGGTCCCAGCTCTCTGCAGGTCATTCACTAGGTCCCCCTGTGTGGTTCTGGGATTTTTGCTCACCATTCTTGTGATCATTTTGATCCCACAGGGTGAGATCTTGCGTGGAGCCCCAGATCGAGGGAGATTATCAGTGGTCTTGTATGTCTTCCATTTCCTAATAATTGCTCCCACAGTTGATTTCTTCAAACCAAGCTGCTTACCTATTGCAGATTCAGTCTTCCCAGCCTGGTGCAGGTCTACAATTTTGTTTCTGGTGTCCTTTGACAGCTCTTTGCCTTGGCCATAGTGGAGTTTGTAGTGTGACTGTTTGAGGTTGTGGACAGGTGTCTTTTATACTGATAACAAGTTCAAACAGGTGCCATTAATACAGGTAACGAGTGGAGGACAGAGGAGCCTCTTAAAGAAGAAGTTAAAGGTCTGTGAGAGCCAGAAATCTTGCTTGTTTGTAGGTGACCAAATACTTATTTTCCACCATAATTTGCAAATAAATTCATTAAAAATCCTACAATGTGATTTTCTGGATTTTTTTTCTCAATTTGTCTGTCATAGTTGACGTGTACCTATGATGAAAATTACAGGCCTCTCATCTTTTTAAGTGGGAGAACTTGCACAATTGGTGGCTGACTAAATACTTTTTACCCCACTGTATGTATAGAACATGGCATTCCAGGCAGACCAGAAGGTGAAGGGGGAGATTATGAGAGCTTTGGGGACGGAGCAGCTCTTCCGTCTGCTCTCTGACCCGGACACTAACGTCCTGATGAAGACCTTGGGCCTGCTACGGAACCTGCTCTCCACACGACCTGTAAGAAAGACAGACAGACAGACACCGCTCTCCACACAACCTGTAAGACAGACAGACAGACAGACACAGCTTTCCACATGCCTTTAAAGACAAACACTCTCTCTCTCTCTCTCTCTCTCTCTCTCTCTCGCTCTCGCTCTCGCTCTCTCTCTCTCTCTCCCCCTCTCTCTCAGCACATAGACCAGATCATGAGTTCCCATGGGAAGCAGATCATGCAGGCGGTCACTCTGATCCTGGAGGGGGAACACAGCATCGAGGTCAAGGAGCAGGTAGGACCCCCTCAACATACTGTAGGTCAAGGATCAGGTAGGACCCCCTCAACATACTGTAGGTCAAGGATCAGGTAGGACCCCCTCAACATACTGTAGGTCAAGGTCAGGTAGGACCCCCTCAACATACTGTAGGTCAAGGATCAGGTAGGACCCCCTCAACATACTGTAGGTCAAGGGTCAGGTAGGACCCCCCTCAACATACTGTAGGTCAAGGATCAGGTAGGACCCATTCAACATACTGTAGGTCAAGGATCAGGTAGGACCCCCTCATCATACTGTAGGTCAAGGATCAGGTAGGAACCCCTCAACATACTGTAGGTCAAGGATCAGGTAGGACCCCCTCATCATACTGTAGGTCAAGGATCAGGTAGGACCCCCTCAACATACTGTAGGTCAAGGATCAGGTAGGACCCCCTCAACATACTGTAGGTCAAGGATCAGGTAGGACCCATTCAACATACTGTAGGTCAAGGATCAGGTAGGACCCCCTCAACATACTGTAGGTCAAGGATCAGGTAGGAACCCCTCATCATACTGTAGGTCAAGGATCAGGTAGGACCCCCTCAACATACTGTAGGTCAAGGATCAGGTAGGACCCCCTCAACATAATGCAGGTCAAGGATCAGGTAGGAACCCCTCATCATACTGTAGGTCAAGGATCAGGTAGGAACCCCTCATCATACTGTAGGTCAAGGATCAGGTAGGAACCCCTCATCATACTGTAGGTCAAGGATCAGGTAGGACCCCCTCAACATAGTGTAGGTCAAGGATCAGGTAGGACCCATTCAACATACTGGCGGCAGGTAGCTTAGTGGGTAAGAGCATTGTGCCAGTAACCGAAAGGTCGCTGGTTCTAATCCCCGAGCCGACTAGGTGAAAAATCTGTCGATGTGCCCTTGAGCAAGGCACTTAACCCTAATTGCTCCTGTAAGTCGCTCTGGATAAGAGCGTCTGCTAAATAAAAAAAATATAAATATATATAAATATATACTGTTGGTCAAGGATCAGGTAGGACCCCCTCAACATACTGTAGGTCAAGGATCAGTTAGGACCCCCTCATCATACTGTTGGTCAAGGATCAGGTAGGACCCCCTCAACATACTGTTGGTCAAGGATCAGGTAGGACCCCCTCATCATACTGTTGGTCAAGGATCAGGTAGGACCCCCTCATCATACTGTAGGTCAAGGATCAGTTAGGACCCCCTCATCATACTGTAGGTCAGAACACCAGTGTCACTGTGGTCGTGTTCCCCTGCTCAGACGTTGCATGCATCAACCAATGGTTGCGTGGCATGTCATCGACTGTGCCGTTGGACACCAGATTGCTGTAACATATGATGTGGTTAGCTAAGACCTATCCAGGTGTTGTAAGCTCTGGCATGCATCAGCAATGCCTGGGCAGGGGAACACAACCTTTAACTGCTCTCTCTGTGTTTCAGACACTCTGCATCCTAGCCAACATCGCTGATGGCAACACAGCCAAGGAACTCATCATGACCAATGACGACATCCTCCAGAAAATAAAATATTACATGGTAGAGTCTTTTCCCTCCGTGAGCCACTGTAGCTATACTTAATAGTAAAAGATAGGTTTGTTCTCAAGTTCACTGAACTCTGTTGCCAACCTTGATATTTGCATGTATCCACGTGGGGTAATGTTTATTTGGAACTAGTTTGACCGTCTCTCTTTACATATATGATTGACACAGCTAAACCAAATACTGAGAACATGTTTCTGTGATGTCCTCTCAGGGTCACTCTAATGTGAAGCTCCAGCTGGCGGCAACATTCTGTATCTCCAACCTGATCTGGAACGAGGAGGACGGTGAGGCCGACGCCATGACAGGTTGTTACATGCTGGGGGGACTGCCTGGGTGGGAACAGGGAATAGATGTACAAACTTAGTGTTGGCTAGGAAAGGGCTAGTGGTTTTGTGGATGTAGTGGTAAAAATTGTGGATAAAGTTCATCAAAACCTGAATGCCAGTGGAGATTAAGCACGGTGAGTAACATACACTAATATATTAACGCTCCACTACAGACCTGGTTTTCATCTGTGATTCGACTCAACATTCCACCAGCTCCGTTGTTATGTAATGTTTAATGTTTTACTGTTGGACTTGGTCTCTGCCTCCGGCTCCAACATCATCCTCTCTAACCTTCCTATGTCGGTGTCTCTGTTCTCAGGCTCCCAGGAGCGTCAGGACAAGCTGAGGGAGTTGGGCTTTGTAGACATTCTGCACAAACTCACCCAGGCCTCAGACCCCAACCTCTGTGAAAGGTGTGCGACACACACACACGCGCTCATTATATTGTAGGATAGTATACTGACTCTCTCCGTCTCTCTCAGGGCGAAAACAGCGATGCAGCAGTATCTGGCGTGACCCCCACGGGAGCAGTCTCAGATGTTGTTGCCCCTAACAACACAACTAACAATCCAACCGTCTGCCAGGAGGAGACCTGCCTGCTGCCATTATTTAGTTCTCTTCTCCTTCACTTTAATCTTCAGTTTTTGTATTGTTGCACAAAGACACCTTTTGAGCTGCAGCAGCAGCAGACCCCCCCTCCCACCCCATCACCCCCCCTCCCCTCCCCACCAACCCAATCCTGACCCCAATCCCAGCCGGAGACTTTAAGACAAGGTCGGGCGGGAAACGAGCGCTTGCTGCTCACCAACGGTTACTGGAGGGGGAGGTTTCACACAAAGTTTTAGTCTTTTTTTTTCTCATGCAAATAGGTGAAGATTTTTGTTTTTTTTCTGAGACTTGATGTGAATGAAGAAAGGATTAGTAGTGTGCAGTACAGCAGCCAGACACCGCAGCACAGTGCCACCTTGTGGCCAGGAGGCCTTGGTGCTTTTGGACTCCCTACTGAGGAGATGGACAGAAAGACGCCTCAGAGAGCGGGACTAAAGGGTCTGACGGAGAGGGCAGGGTTGTGGGAGCATCGCTGCCTCTTGGTTTAATTTAGCTAATTAATGATTCATTATTATTATTATTTAGAGGTGCTTTATGTCGCAAGAGAGGACGCGTTTGGGAAAAAAAGACTGTTCATTTTGAAATGTGTGGTGGTTTCTTTTTTTGTGGATACATACCTCGTAAATATTTATAAACATATAAATATATTTTTGGGATTTGTATTTTCCCCATCCCTTTGGTTTTCTTCCTGTGTGTCTGATCCTGGTTCCTAGTACTGTAGGGTGTGTTTCTATGGTGTGAACAGACTAACAATGGGAGCATCCTGTGGTCAATCAAATAATGGTAGTAGATGGACTGGACCCAGATTAATTTTAGCCCTGGACTAAAAATAACTTCCAATGGAGAATCTCCATTGAGCATAATTCGTACTCCAGGACTAGGCTTAACCTGTATCTGGGTTAACCGGCCCATAGAGGGTCACTATAGGGAGTGTCAGAGTCATCCACTGACACTAGTCTGTTACCTTTCAGGATGCTCTAAGATGGATCCAAAACAAGATATAATGTCCTTTACTTTTAGCCATTTGGTTTGTTCCCCTCAGAATCTTCTAGACCTTTCCTCTCCCTGACATTTCAAACCTTACTAAAGCTCTGATAGAATGAATGTTACCATTGAAATATATGCAGATGAAGATGGACTTGGTCAGTGAGTACTGTCTTTTTTGTCCTCTGGCAAGGTGCAGGCAAGTGGAGGTACAGCACAGTTTATCAATGTGGGGCAGGTGAAAAACAAGTCATAAATGTAACACAACTGAACGCATGCATCAGTTGGAGGTCCACTGGTTATAAGGGCATTACCTTGGTCCATCCACCAGTTAAAATGGCCTGTGATACTACTAAACATAACATCACATACAATGGTTCGGGTACAAAGCATCACAGAAGCCTGGATCTTATAAAACAACACTTTGTTTATTCTTGTATCATGTGTTTCTGGTAAAGTTGGTAAGAGTTAATAAAATACATCTGAAGCCTGCCCAAACCTCTGGCAGCACAATAAGCCCACCCCCTCTTCCCTAGTTCTGAAGCAAGCACATTCCTCATGCAGTTAGCTGTGACATGCATTAACACCCTTACCCCTGACCTCCCATTGGATCCCCCTCCACCCACTCTCACACATCTCCACGCATCCTCATCCTCACTCCGTTACAGAAAATAGAAACCATTATCTTAATCTGACTGTGTATATTACAAATAGGGTGCCCCCCAAAACAACTATAGTGCACCTGATACACAGAGCACCAGACCACACTAGTACAATTAATTATCTGACCACTTTAGCAATGTCTGAGCATTGTGTCTTTGTAAGATAAACCTGTGTCATCCAGAGGTTGACACTTACCCCTGGGATGCAGATGATGCTGCGGATATGGCAATAGTGTGTGTGTGTGCTTCAGTGGAGGCTGCTGAGGGGAGGACGGCTCATAGTAATGGCTGGAATGGAGTAAATGGAATGGTATCAAACACGTTTGATTCCATTTACGCCATTCCAGCCATTATTATGAGCCGTCCTCCCCTCAGCAGCCTCCACTGGTGTGCTTGTGTTGGTGCGTGTGGGCTTTGATATGAAGCTGTTAAACTGAAGCTGAGATGTCTCTGGTTGAACTAGCGATGGACGGCAACGGGCCAGAACACTAAAATCCAGAACACTCCAATCCAGAACACCCCAATCCATAATTTGAGTCAATTGGAGGTGTACCTGTGGATGTATTTCAAGGCCTACCTTCAAACTCAGTGCCTCTTTGCTTGACATCATGGGAAAATCAAAAGAAATCAGCCAAGACCTCAGAAAAAGAATTGTAGACCTCCACAAGTCTGGTTCATCCTTGGGAGCAATTTCCAAATGCCTGACGGTACCACGTTCATCTGTACAAACAATAGTACGCAAGTATAAACACCATGGGACCACGCAGCCGTCATCCCGCTCAGGAAGGAGACGCGTTCTGCCTCCTAGAGTTGAACATACTTTGGTGCGAAAAGTGCAAATCAATCCCAGAACAACAGCAAAAGACCTTGTGAAGATGCTGGAGGAAACAGGTACAAAAGTATCTATATAAAGGCGAAAGAAACGCACGCCTATTTAGGTGAGGTGCTGGCTGACGGCGTAAAACACTTCAAAAAGAAAAGGAAAGCCGCACACTCTAGGAGCTCAGATGCAATAATTTTATATCTTAATAACCAACGTTTCGACAGACAAACCAAACTCTGCATTCCACAGTAAGAACATCATACCAAAGGTCAAGCATGGTGGTGGTGGTGTGATGGTTTGGGGATGCTTTGCTGCCTCAGGACCTGGACGACTTGCCTTAATAGAAGGAACCATGAATTCTGCTCTGTATCAGAGAATTCTACAGGAGAATGTCAGACCATCCGTCTGTGAGGTGAAGCTGAAGCGCAGCTGGGTCATGCAGCAAGACAATGATCCAAAACACACAATCAAGTCTACATGAAAATTGCTAAAAAGCAACAAATTGGAAGTTTTGGAACGGCCTAGTCAAAGTCCAGACCTAATCCCAATTGAGATGTTGTGGCAGAACTTGAAACGAGCAGTTCATGCTTGAAAACCCACACGTCACTGAGTTAAAGCAGTTCTGCATGGAAGAGTGGGCCAAAATTCCTCCACAGCGACGTGAGAGACTGATCAACAACTACAGGAAGCATTTGGTTGGAGTCATTGCAGCTAAAGGTGGCACAACCAGTTATTGAGTGTAAGGGGGCAATTACTTTTTCACACAGGGGAATTAGGTGTTGCATAACTTTGTTTATGAAATAAATATGTAATTGTTGTGTTATTTGTTCACTTATGTTCCCTTTATCTAATATTAGGTTTTGGTTGAAGATCTGATAACATTCAGTATCACAAATATGCAAAAGTAGAGAAAATTAGAAAGGGGGCAAATAATTTTTCATAGCACTGTATATAAAATAAGTGACTTTTCTAAATAACAGTGCAGCGTTCATAATGGTCAATAGCTTGTAAATCACAACATAATCACCAGTTGTGGATGATATGTGAAAGAATGGATGTTTGCTATATGATATGTGTACGACTAGCAGTGTGTGTTCCAAGGAGAAGGCACGAATGGCTGGATGGCTAAAGCTTGAGTTGATGTGGGAACTCAGTCACTGTACAATCTGGCATTCTGGTTTACACTCATAGACTTACTGAATATTCCGCTCACCCACCAGTATGCATGGCTTCCTAAACCTAAACCTAGCCTGTCTTTGGCACACTGGCTCCCTCTCCCTATCAAGACCTACTGCGGTGTTGTCTTCATATTTTGGTGGGTTCCATGTGTTTTGTAAGCTCACTGATTGTCTTGTGTTGAATATGGTCACTTGTTGGAGGGAGTGAAACGACGGTGTGTAGGCTGGATTGACACGTTTAGGATGTCACATAATGTTAGACCACAGCGCAAGTGTGTGTGTAATTTGTGGAGATGTATGTAACAAATCACCAGCATATTACAAGTAGCAGAGAAACATGAGAAACTCTGAAGAAATATTAAGATGAAGATAAATGACATTTCTCATTTGAAATCAGCCACGATTGATATCCAAGCAATAGATGTAAGTATAATGTTGAATCCAGACGACAGAGGTTGAATAAGAGATGACATTCCCAGTCCTATATACTGTATATGTGATGTCATGAAGGGGTGGTTGGTTGGACAAATTTGGCCAGGAGAGGAGTAGGGGGTAGGGATGCACATTTCACTTATGACATCATGAAGTCCATAGACAGAGGAGGATGTGTTGCTTTAACATGACCGGAACATGACCAGAGGACCTGGTCAGACTACTGTTGATTTTGTGTTTGTCTGTCGTGGATTTTTCTGTGAGCTATTGGTTTC